GGGGGGGGGATAAGGGGAAGATGGGTTAAGATGGGGTGTACATATCAAGGTGGTTGGGGACTTTTTATAGGGATAGAAAGAGAATGGGGGAGGTAGGGGAAAAGTGGTCATACCTTAGGGAGGACATGTAAAAATACCTAGCGGAGGGGAAGGGGTGATGTAAACATACCTAGCGGAGGGGGACATGAGAACATACCTAGCGGAGTGAGGACTGGTGAGGCTTTAGATGTGACAGCATCCTTAATGACCATATCTTCAGGTTGAATGAGACCAGGTTCCTCCGACAGTTCAACCTGCTCTGCCATGAACTCACCACCTGTACTCGAACCGCTCGTCCTGTAGTGCAAAAAAATGCATCACGTTCATAGTATCTAAAGTAAAACACATGCAGATTTAAAGTAAAACACATGCAGATTTATAAAATACATTTCCTCAAAAGTATAAGTCTGGTTCTTGTTTCCTTTCATTGGATATTTAACCCGAGAGCTAGGGACATTAGTTAAAGAACAGGTGATAAAAGGGAGAGCACTAGATCAGAAATTTGACATAGTGTGATATGCGCAAGGGGAAGTAACTCTGTACCTTCGGTTTTCTACCCGTAGTGTGTCACGCTCTTGACTGATAACCTCCGGCTGCGCGTTGGCCACATCAGTCACCGTCGCCTTGATGTGCTTATCTTTGAAGGCATCAGCTGCATCCTTAATGTACTTACACCACCTAAAAGGGTCAAATGTCCAAAAATATAACGCATCTATATAGGTCAAAGGGCAACAAGAAGCACTTTTACAGGTCAATTGGATAGTATATGTAACACCTTATAGGTCAAACAACAATATATGTAACATCATTATAGGTCAAAGGTCCATGTAGGCCACATCATTACAGGTCAAAGGTCAATGTAGGCCACATCAATACAGGTAAAAGTGCAATGAAGGCGACATCAATACAGGTCAAAGGGTAATGTAGGTGACATCAATACAGGTCAAAGGGCAACATAAGTTATATCAATACAGGTTAAAATATAATAGGTCAAAGTGCAATACACGTAACACCTCCACAACAGATCAATTGTAAATACAGACCACAACACACAATTAAATGTTACTCAAGGAACTTAATAATTTACAGCATTCAAATAAATGATGTGTTTGATGTTTGCATTTTCAACTGGGCTTTCAACTGTGTACAAGTATAGGGATCCATCAGGACAGAGAAGACTTACTTGCGTTGTTCATCGGCCGTGTGAGCCGACAGCTCGTAGATCTGTGACTTGGACACCACAAAGAATGCCTTCTTATCTGTAACACAATACACACTTGTTTGTAAGCTCACTAATACATTAAATCAAAACCAGGAATTTACTTGTGATTTTGTTGCTGGATCATGTGAATCACCACAACTGACTTGTGTTATTTTTGTACTTGGTTTGGTTTACCTATCAACAGCTATGGTCATTTAAGGACAGCCTCCCATGCGTGCAAGATGCATGCGTGTAGTGTATGTGTGTGTGTTTTGGGAGGCTGCGATATGTTCGTGTTTATCTCCTTGTGATAGCGCGGAACTGATACTGACTTTATAGTGCTACCTCACTGAAACATACTGCCGAAGACACCCAGCAGGACACCCCACCCGGTCACATTATACTGACGACGGGCGAACCAGTCATCCCACTCCTAAATTGCTGAGCGTTAAGCAGGAGTAGAAACTACCATTTTTACAGACTCTGGTATGTCTCAGCCAGGGGACAGAACTCAAAGCCTTCCTCACAGGGGCGAAAGCTCAACTAAAGGCCAAAAGTGAGGCATTGTCAAGGGAGACATTAGGAAGAAGAAAGTTGTTAAGAAAGAAGAGAAAAGATAAGATCCCAAATTTAGTCGCCTCTTACGATCATGCAATGGGGGCAGCAGATACAATTCTTACGCCTTACCTGCAGGGACGTTATTTTTGTACATTTGTGGTCGAAATTGGCAACATCTTAAAGAGAATTTAAGCTGCATTTTCTCAAAATCACTGCATATTTCCCCAAATTTTGACAATGTAGTTGTGTATTTTGTGAAATGTACAAATTTTCCCAATTTTGTAAAAAATACCATGAAATATTCCCAATTAAAAATGCATGGGCCACTATGGAGAAATGATAGAAAATTCGCTAACTGGTGTGTAAGCCTAACTGTTTACAGCCTAACATGGGAAACACAGTATCATTTTACTTGTGATAAACACAACACTAAGAACATGTAGCCTACCAGTCGGTGACAAGGATGATGTTTTCATTTGAGGAAAAGACATGACATATACTTGTTACGATTTACCTGTAGCTTTGCTGTTGGTGTGGAGGATGTTGTTGAGTTAGAGGACGGGAGCGAACATGAATTTGTTAGTATTTACCTGTAGCTTTGCTGTTGGTGTGGAGGATGTTGTTGAGTTTGAGGACGGGAGCGAACATGTATTTGTAGCCATCCTCCTTCCCTGCCACCAGTTGTGTGCTCTGACACTTGAGGACAAGCTTGTCGTCTTGTTTCTGTAAGAGTACGAAGAGGTCCTCTAGGAGAATTACATGAACGTCCAGACTCTTCCGCTGGTTCATGTTCCAGGTGAGCGGGCCCTCATGCACCAGCTTGTGAGCTCGAAGGTCCAGGGTCTGCAAAACAGAGATCAGACTTGTAACAAACTCATCTTGTGAGCTTGCTAACCCATTCACCTCTAAAGTCACATTTTAACCTTACCAAATCATTGACTGGGCAAGTCCATTTTAAAATTGTAGGGGTGAGTGAGTTAATCAAAAATACAACACTTAATATATACCTAGTATGCTGAATTGTATGTTTTTATAACTGTATACTGAGAAATGTTCGCCCCTTTAACAGTAAAATCCATTTTGTCCCCAATGTTAATTTTTACTATTTATATTCTGTTGTTTACAATTGTTTGCTCTTACGATCAAATTAACCCTTTCATCACTGTAGACCATAATGGACTCATCCAAATCAAAACATGGTAGAATCTACTAAAGTTACATAGGGGTGAAAAGGTTTACCTCAAAACTGAGGGTGAAAAAGGGGAAAAATTTACCGGTATGCTGTATTCACTAAAATCTACCATGCTTAGGTTGTGCTGAAAGAAAGGTCTTCACTTGGATTTCATTTGTGGCAGCCATTTTTTGTACGTGTTGTTTTCATATTAACATTGAAACTGAATTTGCACAGGGGTAGATTTAATTTTAACATTATTTACTATCATACAACATACTTACGCGATAAGAAAACCAGTAATACTGCAATCCCTATCTGGCCGACAAAATCATTGGTCACTACCAATACCTTAAATCAATTACAGCCAGTCACCGATTACATTCCCAGCTGCTTCAATAACCGATTACAACCACGGAGAGGATGTAAATGGCGATTAGGAAAAAAAGGGAGGAAATCGAAGTGAAAAGGGGGAACGCACCTCAAATCCGTAGAAACTTCAATTTTTTTATTTATTGTTTCACAACAAATTAAGAACTTTTAAAATCATGGAAAAATAGGGAAAAAGAGAAAATCCTTTGGAAAGAGGAAGAATCATACGACTGTTACCATGATTGCCACCTTGACCAATAACAACTATGGACAATTTACCTTGAGTTCTTCCGCCATGTAATCGGTGAGGATTTTCCTCTCCATACGCCGTTGTAGCTGTTCCAGTCTGTAGATGTTCTCGTAGTCCTGGACGGCCTGATTTACATACTCCAGGATGTGCTTGCTGCACTGGAGTGCCCGCTCCAGCTTTGTGTGTTCCTCGGACCCCACTGTAACACGTTCACATACAGTCAAACTTTACGTTACTTTACCACGTTAAAGTTGTCAGACCCGGGGTATTTGACATGTTGGAATTCAAATAAATTAATTACTTAACACAGGGATATTTTTTCAGTTATAGTTCATCTTTCACCCTTTTCCCCTTCTGTAAGGAGGGTGAATTTATCACGACAGTGAACATTAGGACACCGCATACCCTTTATTGTTATTACATGTTTCTTGTAATAATTCAACTTTCACTCTTTTCCCCCTCGCAACGACGTCCAACTTATGATGACGGTGAATTTAAGTACACCACATACCCTATAGCTACATTGTAATTTCATGATTTTTTTAGTTGCAGTTCAACTTTCCCCCTTTTCCCCCTCTGCAACGAAGACCAATTTATCACAACAGTACATATAAGTACACAATATGCAGCATATACATGTAGTAATTAAATGAAATTATCACTGGGTGAATATGAATTTTACCAGGACAAATATTCAACTGGGCAACAGTTTCCCATTATACTGTATGTAAAATCAATTATTTTAAGAATCTTTTATCAAATATTCTTCGATCTCTAAAAAGAACAGGCTTTGAAGTTGTTTTCAGGCCAGACTTACAGAGTATGTGTTGCTTTGAAGTTATTTTCAGGCCAGACTTACAGAGTGTGTGTTTCTTGAGACTTTCTATTAGTAGGGGATACTTGGTCAGCCTCATCATCTGTGTGGGGATGAGATCCTTTAGCTGCAGCCGACGCATTAGGTTACTGCTCTCAGCCTCCTGCAACAAGACAAGACTTACAGATGTACAGAAAAGTGAAAATTTTCCAAAACAATTTGAATCTAAATATCAGGATGTCTTTCTCCCCCCACCCTTTTTTTGTACTCCGATTTTCCCCAGCACTAAGACCCTCTGTATTCTCATCTTGGCCATCAAGATTTATTAATGTAAGTTTAACAAACTTGTCTCTTAATGTTGTAAAATAAATAAAGTTTTTAATTTACAATTAATATCTTTTATAGTATTTTACATGTACTTAACCCCTCCCAAAAAAACCTCTTTACCATGTACTTACCCCTAAAAACGTTGATATCCGTGCATCTTTCTTTTGTTTTGACCTGAGCATGTCCAGCGCATGTTGCTGGTTTCGACAAAATATGGCACAATTTTTACGGAATGCTTCCCCTTCTTCATTGTCAAACTGTAAAAAGACAAAAAAACATATCAAGCCTAGCCAGTTATTGTCACCGTTTAATGTCTTCTGCAACCGATATAATATACATACTTAGGCCAAGCCAAGAGTCAATGTGAATAGTTTATGGAGGGTTAAGTATTAAAATGTTGTCGTACCTTAGCTGTTAAATTCATACTAATGAGATATGTACTTCATAGCATATCAATATGGTTCTTCATGCAATATTATCTTGTTTATTCAGTATTGCAAAATTAGCTCAAACTTTTACTTAATTACAATACCAGATACATTTAATCTTTATTGGCCTTGAGAATGTTTCATACAGACTTTTCAAGACAATTTATGAGAATTTTTCCTGATCTTTTTCAAGAAATCTCTTGCAATTTCCTGGTATAAATTTAGACTGGACAAAATTGAAGCACTTTTTTTTGTAATTTTCTAGCACAGTCTACCTAGTGCAAGTCTTTTGGGGAAAAGGGGTAGAGAATTTCTGGTTTTAGAGACCACAAAGTACTGCTACAATTAATTAAAAAGAATTACAACAGCTTTAAAATTATCATGTAGAAAAGAATACAATTCAACCTGCTCATACAACAGTCTTCATCAAGAAACAATCAGAGTTAAGAGACCAATTTTAATGTTCCTAATTGTAAGGATTTTATTGTGAACTGAACCTGTATCAAGAGATCTCTTGCATAAGAGACCACATTTTGTACTTCCCAAGGGTGGTCTCTTAATATAAGTTTGACTGTACATGTTAATAGTTTCCAATATTCTTCCACTTACACAAAGGGCAATCACTTTTGCAAAAATTGTTGAATCAAAATTCTTTTAAGGGAGACACAACTTCATATCATGATGATAATGTATACTAAGTTTCAAAGAGATCCGTTAAAAAATGTAGGAGAAGATTGCAGGACAAAAATCAAATACTGAAATAAACAAAGGGCAATAACTTTTGCAAAAATTGTTGAATCAAAATTCTTTTAAGGGAGACACAACTTCATATCATGATTATAATGTATACCAAGTTTCAAAGAGATTGGTCATAAAAATGTAGGAGATTGCTGGACAAACAAAAGTTTACGCCGGACGGACGTAGGGACGGACGGATGGACGAACCCATACCATAATACTCCCGTCAAATGTGACGGGAGTAAATTTGACGGGAGTATAAAAATCCAGAAACTGTCTGTGATGCATCTATTTTCCAGTACTTTGAATAACTGACCTCCATTACAGCACTTTCCATGGTTTGATGAACTAAGGGAAAAATACTGTATACCTTTTTCACTAATGGCAATGAGGGCAAATTCATCTTGAGGGTGGATATAACATGTGGAAGGTGAAATTTACACTTGACAAACATGGATTTTATTGGTGAAGGGCCAGTATTTGACTGGGTGAAGGTTTCCCAGTATACAGTATAAGGTAGAAAAGATAACAAAAGATGTTTACTCTCGTAAAAGTTACTTACCCTTTTTAATAACACTTCACTGACTTCATCAATAACCTTGTTTTCTCTCCTTTTTGCCTTTAAATCATTATTCAATGCACCTGCAACAATAAAATATTGACAATTTAATTTTTTGAATTATTATTTCACCTAAAAAATACCTCTTTTTTGAAAGTCAACAGAACATCACAAGAAAACATCTAGACAAAATAAGAAATTAGTTTTATTTCCATTTTCAAACTGTAAAATTATTAATACACAAAATTAGTCATTTTTGAGGATAATCTAATAGGAATATTTATACAAACATTTGTGTAAATATCATATTTACTGTAAACAAGGTCATTGTTATTGGCACTGTAATATTTGATTCTGTCAAGGTAGCTAAAACAAAAAGGGAGGTAACTGGTAACAAAGGGGACATAACTAGTGATGATAGTATGTACAAGATACTGACAAGGCAGATTATGGTACTGACAGGGGAGATAACAAGCATTGACATGGTACTGAAAGGGGGAGATAATAAGCATTGACAGGGGAGATAACTAGTACTGACAGGGGAGATAAATGATACTAATAGGGGAGGTAATAACACTTACAGTGGAGCTGGATCATATAGTCCAAGTTTGGGAACAGCAGCTTGGTAAATTCCTCTGAGATATTAGGGTCCTGGACCATAGGCTTTTGAAATAAACTCTCCATTATCTTTAAGTTCCGTACATGGCGTTTTTCAGTATAAACTAATTCTGAAATGAAAGAGTAAAGAAGTTGTTATCAAAGCGCACAAAAAAAATTCATGTAATAATAATAAAAATAATAGTAATTTGAGGCTCTTATATACCGCTTTATCACAACCTAGGTCGTAGGTTGTCTCAAAGTGGTTTACAAATTATTATCCTTGGTTATAGGGCCTTTGCAACCAGCCAATATCTTTCTCAACTCCTTGGAAGCATACAGCCGGAGCTGCCATTTCGGCGCTAACAGCTAGCATTCAACAATTCTAGCACTGCCCAACCACGTACTCATTTACAGCTTAGTAGACTGGAACAAGCAGAGTAATGTATCTTGCTCAAAGATACAACACAGTGCCGTGCCGTGACTCGAACCCGCAACCCTTCGGTCACGAGCCCTGCGTCCTACCACTAGACTACCGTGCCTCCTACTGCTACAATCAAGAATAAATTTCTTTCTAGGCAGTTATATAAAAGTCTATACCTAATCCCAGATATATCTTTGTAAACTGGTACAGAAAAAAAATCACGTTTTGCACTGCTTTACACATTATAACAGTTTTCTCCCTAAATTTTGAAACAGGTGGTTGATTTATAAAGAATAGCTGGTTAAATGTTCGCATGCTATTATGTTGACCTAAACGTTTCCTGAAAAAAAAGCAAATTCAAGGTTGACGAAAGTAGGCTACTTTGGCAGGTAGTCGGCTGTTAATGAGATACCACTGTGTGTTACACCTGGTCTTATTTACCGTTAATTACGTCCTGTCGCTTGCGTTCCTTGGGTTTGAGTCGACGATACACATCCTCAGGAAGGACTGACTTCAGAGTGGGCAGCTCTTGTTCTACATCATAGTCCGAGTCATCGTCCTGAAGGGACTGTGGGATGTTGTTGACCGCATCCAGCGAATTACTCGGGCTGTCAACACTCCTAAAATTATATCATACACATTGTGTTTAAAAATCGGAGACTTGTCTAAGCTTAGCATTTTCCCCTCATGGTTATCTTTTAACCAATAATCTGGTCAACTTCTACACCTTTTCCAAAACCAATTTTACATGCTAATGGCTATTTGAGTTGCTTAACACTGCTCAAATATCTTGCAATATTTGCAGATAATTTTGAGTGAGAATCTTGATTGATAACTTCAAATTGCTACCACCATGAAAACATGTTTGAATAATCAATGTATTTGAGAACCCGGATATATTCAAAATTAATTTTGAGATCAGCTTTCAAGAACCAAGGTATCAGTTAGTCTAAATTGTGAAGTTTTACGAGTTATCAGTAGCTCTCACAAGTCAAAATATACTTACCTATTTGAAAGACTTGATGTTGATGAACTGCCAGAGTTGTTGTGTAGAGCCTTAATGGCGTCGTCCATATCTAGGTCGCTGTAACACAAATACAAAGATGTTATCTTAATCTAGGCCACTGTGACACAATTACGAATACATCACATAAATCTAGGTCACTGTAACCTAGGCCACTGTCACACAATTACGAATACATCACATAAATCTAGGTCACTGTAACCTAGGCCACTATGACACAATTACGAATACATCACATAAATCTAGGTCATTGTAACACAAATACAAAGATCTCATGATCCATATCTAAGTTGTTGTAACACACAAATATATATTGATATTATGTAAATCTAGGTCACTGTAACAAAAATAATAAGACATCATCCAAATCTAGGTCAGCAAAACAGAAGTGTTGACATTATCTAGGTCACTGAAAAAAATACACAATTAATACAATATAAGGTGTCAGCTAAAACACAACAAAGGGAGGGAATCCGGTGGTAATTCATTTGTAATAACAAGAGGCCCATGGGCCTTAACGGTCACCTGAGTCCTACAGTATTCATTTTTGTTGTTAAAATATGAAGTGGAGATAATGATGTCAATCATCCCTGACAAATTTGATTAAAAAATAGTTAAGCATAACTTAAAGTTAAGTTTGTCAGGACAATGAGTTGATCATTCCTAGACCGAGTTCCAGATAATTCAGCCTATTATAACTTGATTTAAAGTTTTAAATAGTTTTTTTTTCCAAAATGGCAGCCATGGTGGCCATATTGGATCTTTGATGGACCCAAAAAATAATAACTTTGTCAGGAACATAAGTTGATCATTCCTACCAAGTTTCAGTTAAATTGGCCCAGTAGAACTTGACTTTAAGTTTAAAATAGTTTTTTTTTAAATGGCGGCTGTGGCGGCCATATTTGATTTTTGATCGACCCGAAAAATAACAATGACTTTGTCAAGACCATGAGTCGATCATTCCTACCAAGTTTCAGTTAAATTGGCCCTGTTGAACTTGACTTTAAGTTTGTAATAGTTTTTCAAAATGGCTGCTGTGGTGGCCATATTGGATTTCTGATTGACCCGAAAAATAACAACACTTTATCAGGTCCACGAGTTGATCATTCCTACCAAGTTTCAGTTAAATCAGCCCAATAGAACTTGACTTTAAGTTTGAAATAAAAAAAAATTAAATTGAGGCCGTTGTGGCCATATTGGATTTCTGATCGACCCGAACAATAACAACACTTGGTCAGTGAGTTATCAGTAACATTCCCATGAAATATTAATGAAATCCCTTTGACAGTATTTCAGCTAAAGTTGGTAAATGTAAAATGTTAACGGACGACGCACGACTGACGAAGACGGATAGCAATAGGTCACTTGAGCTAAAGCTCAGATGACCTAAAGAGGAAAATCCAACAAAATCGACAAATAGTTGGTAATTTAATCTGTCTGCTACAAAATAAATTCAGAGCAAAAACCTCATGTCAAAAACAATACGATTCTCTTTCTTCATTTCAAAACAATGTGAAAAAGAATATACATCTACAAGTACAATGAAACTCACAGTAATTGCCCCTTGTCATTGTAACACACACAACTATTATAAAACTGAGAGTAACCTCCCTTGTCAATGTGATTGTGGCTATAAATTGATACACCATAAGAATTAAAGCAGAGAACCCCTGAAGCTGTAACAAAACCCCTGAATCCCTGAAGCTGTAATAGAATATACATTCCCCTAGGCCAATACGTTTTCAGTCAAACAGATACAAAATCACCAAAAGGCATACAAATAGGATGTGCTTTTCTGCTGAAAGGTTGAGATTAAAGCCATTCTCCATTCCATATATCAAAGAGGCACAAGTCAGAAGGGTGTAAAGGTGATGAATGTATATCTGACCAATCCCTACCCCTGGGGCAGGCTACATGCTTCCTAAAAAAAAAAACACCATCAGGAGGGTAAAACTCATGTGTTTGTAGGCTTTATAGTCTCAGTCCCAGAAAAGGTTACCTAGTTTCTAGATTACGAAGGTGACATATAAGGCGTGTATTTGTATTTTTCATCAATCCCCACGCTAGGAAGGGTTACATGCTTCCTAGAATACATATCAGAAGGGTGCAAGTTATGCGGATCCCAACTCCCTGGGGAACCTAACATGCGTCCTATATTTTACAAACCACGATAAGAAGGGGACAAGGAAAGTGTTTGTATTCTTCATAAATCCCGAACCCTGGGACAAGTTGTGTGCATGCTAGATTTACACCATCACTACAAGTTGGGGAAAAGATTGTGAAATTGGTCCGACAGTCAGAAGGAAAATGATGTCAATTGATAACATATAAAAAAAGGTTATAATACAGATGATAACGATAACACGTAACAATGAAATGATAACAACGACGACACCGATAACATTACAAAGGGTGAGAGGTACTAATTACTGTAACGACGAGGACAGGTAGGGACAGGTGAGGTTAGTTTGTAAGGGCGGGCAGTTGAGATAATTAGTTCTACGTTACTATATATAAACATACCAGAACTAACAAGTTACAACATGCTGTAAACATACTGTAAACATATTGTAAACATGCTGTAAATGCATATATATTTTTCGTTGTTTTTGTATGGGGATTTTTTTTTCCGTTGGGGTTAAATTTCGTTGTTTTTGTATGGGGACAAATTTGTTGGGATTATACTTCGTGGATTCAATATCTTTAAACCCTGTATTTTTTTCTGGTAAGTAAGAGGTTTAAATTGACAGGCGTGACGACACAGTGCATGTTAATTTTTTACAGCGAAGACCGGGCAAGATTTACTCACCCTCTATAGTCTACATACAAAGAACAATATGTAACTGTGTTACAAATGTAACACTTGATTGACACGCTGTTGTCACAAGTATTTACCTCTGTGCCTGTGACGATAATTTTACCTTTAATCATGACTTGTGTCTAAATGTAAACACAACATGGATTTATAATTAAATCAATAGTTTATTTAATGGTTTCTTTTAGTTTATATTTCGTGGGTTTAACATTTTGTTGGAATTATATTTTGGTGGTTTTTTATAATACCACAAAATAAACAAAATTAAATCCGAAACCAAATATTATGCTTTTACCAAAAAAGTAGTCTAAGAAGTGGTGAATTTAATTTCAGGGTGATTTCTTTTGTTGATAAGTTTACTTCGGTAATTTTATTTTTGTGATCTGATTTTATTTAATACTAAGCAATTTTCCCTGCAGTTCAATATTCGCCTTTTTTGTCCTTCACAGTGAGACAGAATTTATCATTATAGCTAACACATATGTTAACAACATAATATACTGAGTAATTAAATGTAAAGGACAGATTTAACATTGGCTGAAATTTGATTTACCGTCGAAAGGCGAATATTTTCCAGTACTTTTTTGCTCTAGGACCCTTTTATTTATTGTTACTCAATGATAATATTGTAGAAAAAATTATCTTGTCTAAGAAAAAGTGGCAAAAGATTTATATCAGTAAATCGCCATAGAAGATTTTTTTCTCTCATAAAACCATACTGTCATGCCATATTGTCTACATTCCCTGGTCCCCGTGCAGTTAGTGAGTGCTGTCTGGTGTTGTTCAAATTCTCATTAGCTCAACGTCCATACTTAATATTTTATCACGAAAACTTCAAAATATATCAAATTTAAAAAAAAAAGATTTTTCATAAAATTTGCATTTTGAAAATTGACATTAACCCTTTTACCACTGTAGACCATAACGGACTCATCCAGATCAATGCATGGTAGAGTCCACTAAAACTACAAAGGGGTGAAAGGGTTCAAGACTGGTCAAGCCAACCAGTGTTTGAATAACTTGGCTATGGCATCCTTATACCTTAACGGTAACATTGTGATATTGAAAAGTTTTTGTAAAAGATGTTTTCAAAGTTTCATAAATATCTGTGAAAAAGAAAGAAGCATCACTTCAGACAAAATAAATAAGTGAAAAATCAGAAAAGGGGCATAACTCCTAATAAAGTGGTTGAAATCCAAAATAAACTGCAAGTGCACAATTCTGAAGGGTATTGATGCGTACAAAGTTCGATAAATATCGCTTGAGAAACTTAGTAGGAATACTTCAGACAAAATATGCATAAGGATATCAGAAAAGGGGCGTAACTCCCATAAAAATGTCTGAATCGTAATATTTATTTATCACAGGTGCACGACTTCAAATGTGTTGTCTACATCATTCATGGTTCATGAAATTCAGCTGAAAACTGTCGGAGAAGTTGTGCGGACAAGATTGTGTCTACAGACAGACGAACAAATGTAATACCATTCCAACTTGATTGCTCGGGACATAAACGTTCAGAGAAATATCTACAACACGGTAAAACAAGGAAAAAAATATTCTACAACAAAACATGCAAGCTGAACATAACATAATGACATGCAGCATTCGGAAGAAAGAGAAATCCAAATCAAAAGTCAGCCATCCACGACATGCCTGTTGGGTGATGTGTGACCCTGTTACCTTTTTGCACGTTGTCGGTCACGGGTTGGTCGATCTCCCCGGCCGTCAGCCCGGCCTTTCAGACTTTCCGATCGCCCTAAATCTGTACCTTTCCTACAATGGCGGGCGAAACAGTGTGAGACAAGCCAATCAGAAACCCTGTAATACTACCACAGCAGCACAAAACGCAGTCTGTAACCTACTTTGTGATTGGATGCTGCAATCATGAGTGGTGCACCTTTGAATTAAAAGAGCTCGCTAAGATTTTTTGTTTTTTTGCCCCATTGTTAAGTGTGCAGTTGTATGAAATATTAGTAAACAACCCTAGCTATGAGCAGTGACTATAACAAAAGAAGCACTGTACATCCCAGTGTGTGTCCAACAAAGAATTAGTTTGTCTAGCAAAAGACATATACTTAGTCTCGGGCTAATGCCCTCATTTTGTAACAAAATCCCAACCGAGGCGTAAGCCTCCGTTGGGATGTTACAGAATCTTCCTCGACTGAGATAACCCGATCTCGCTCAGTTACAGGTAATAGCTAGATTTTACTAATCTCAGTCTCGGACTAAGATTCTGTAACATCCCAACCTCGGCTTACACCTCGGTTGGGATTATGTTACAGAATCTTAGCCCTCGACTGAGATAACTAATTCTCGCTCAGTTACAGGTAATTGATTTTATAAGTGTTTCCTGGGACAACTTGCGGAGAGATTATTTGTACTTCCTGGGATGATTTGTGGAAACTATTTGTGCTTCCAAGAACAATACGATGAGAGCGAGTTACATGTAGTGAGATTCTGTTGAATTGCAATGATGTACTTTTAGTGAGATTCTGTCAAATTTCATAGATCAATTATCAAAACCAAGCAAATCAACAGGAAATTAGAAGTTTACTGTTGTTAGGTAAAACTGTCGTGATTTCCTTCTGTATTTTAAAATGGTGTCACCAATGCTTAATGTTACTATCAAACTGGCTACACTAATCTCTATGTAAAGACTAGAATATATATGTAAACGAAGCAGGCGTATCTGCCACCAAGCCAACTCATCTAAATCTAAGAGAAAGCCTTGATCTAAATATAGAAAAAGGAATTCCCTTATAATCTATAAATAGAATGGAGAAATTCCTTATAATTCAAATATAGAAAAGGGAAATTCCATATAATTCAAATATAGAAAAGGGAAATTCCCTATAATCCAAGTATAAAAAGTGTTAAATTTTCTCAAGTCTAAATAAAGATATAGGAAATCCTAAACCAATACCAGAGACCTATAGGTTTATAGATATGCGAATGATTTTCTTTGGGAGTATTATATAAATTTATTCAGAGAAAAATAAAAATATTCATATTTGTTTGTTTATGTATGGATAAAGAAAAGAGGATAGAGGTACATTAAGGTAAAAGAATTGTTCAGCTATTGATATTTAAAAACAGGTTTTTTCGTGAGCCTTGATTAAAGGATCTTGGAACAAAGGACATATAAAATGGAGATTGAATGTGTTGAATGAAGGAAATATGGATGAAAAGAAAGGAAACATACAGAACAATTTTAAAAGGAACCAATATACAATAAACATTAATTATTGTCACCCGGCTATAATGCCCACTTGTCTAAAACAACCATATTTATCATATATTACAACCTGTCTATAAAGACAGCTTGTCTATTAATACTGTTTTCTGTCCTTCTCTCCCTCTATTTCTTTCTCTCTACTAGACAGCTGTCTTTACAGCGACGTTTGTCTTTGCTTCCTTCTCCATGGTTAGATTAGCTAGCTTGAGATTGTTGGCTTAATAAGTAACACCATCAAAGCAATGTGCAAATTCTGACACACACAGAAAGACAGAAGGACAAAGACTCACACAAACAGAAGACAGAAGGCAAAACTCACAAATACAGAAGACAGAATGAAGAAGATCGACTCACACATACAGAAAACAGGAGAAAGACGCACACACACAAAAGACAAAAAGACAAACACTTCAACAAAGAAGAAAGGAGGACAAAGACTCCAACACACAGAAAACAAAGGGACAAATGCTCACACATACAAAAGACAGAAAGACAAAGATTCATCCAGACACAAGGACAAAGATCCATACATACAAAAGACAGAAAGACAAAGATTCATCCAGACACAAGGACAAAGATCCATACATACAAAAGACAGAAAGACAAAGATTCATACAAACAGAAGGACAAAGATCCATACATACAAAAGACAGAAAATACACACACACACAGAAGACAAATGGATGAAATGAAGGACAAACAAAGGAGTAATATCCATCATATATCAACACAGATTTCGTAGAGTGTTTGGCAGTAAAGGTGGACCTAGACAGATTTTATAACAAAGAAGACATTTTTGGCCACCAATAGGTTTGTAACTCGCTGATGGTGAAGAGTGTCACAAAACATTTGATATTTAAACAGCTAAAAAAACATTTCAAAAAGCAAAGAAAATACTATGTTAGGACTAAATGTAAATGCCCGAGGATTTAGGAACAGGACAAGGTAAACCTAGTCTGGTGTGGACATTTTATGGACAATCCCTTCAACTTTTAATTTAAGTTTACAATTTTTTTTTATTTTTTTGTATGGAGAAAAACGATCCCTCTAGATTGAACAATTGGAAACTTTTTTTTCTCAATGATACTTTTGTAGCCAGCATATTCATCAACCCCTTGAGTCAGCAGCCTACAATCCCCTTCCCACAACCACGCAATCCTTCTCACTCATCAGGAATCAAAGGAACACAAAGAAGACAGAAAACTGAAATACCCTAAACACAGACATATAATGACAGGAAGGTACACAATTAATGGTGTAGGTACTGTACATAGGGGAATTTTTGCTGCTGTTTAACTTCCACATTTTTCCGCCATCCGTAATGAGAACGAATTAATCAGGACAGTGAAAATATGTTCACAATATACTATGCATAATAATAACATGTCAAAGGCAAAATTAATCCTGCACGAAAACAGATTCTACCGGTTCAGGGTGAAAAGTTGACTGGACGAAATTCGCCTAGCATGCAGTATGTAAAGTCTTCTTCATAGCTCGTGATCTGTGTAACTATGATAGTCCAGTAACACTGCCAACAACAGGCCAATACCCTTCGTCACTTTTCTCATTCCTATTTCATCACAAGGGACGTGATTGGTCGACCTATTGTTGCCTGTGATTGGCTTACCTGCCTAGGCAAGTGAATGGTGCATCATTCATCGCCAGAAATTGGTTTACATGTCAAGCGATGTGATTGGTTGACCTATTGTTGCCTGTGATTGGCTTACCTGCCTAGGCAAGTGAACGGTACATAATTCATTGCCAGAAATTGGTTTACATGTAAAGCGATGTGATTGGTTGACCTATCATTGCCTGTGATTGGTTTATCTGTCAAAGCATATGATTGGTGCACTATTGATAGTCAGTGAGTGGTTTATGTAAGAGAGTATATGATTGGTCAGCCCTAGAAGTTGATATACCTGTGCATTTCTGGCTCGGACAGCTGGTTCTGTGGCCGGCGTTTGTCTGAGGGTGAGGGTACTAGCTGGTCAAACTGGTTCACCAGCTTGCTCACTGAGTGGGGATCACTTCGGATTTTATCTGTAGTTAAAGCAAACAAACACATAAGTTTTGAATATTTGATAATTTGAAAGAATTTGTGTCTAAAAGACAGTCGGCATTGCAACCATTTCAGATATAATGATAGAAATATCCAACACATTATTTGTTTTAATATTATAAATGATTTTCTCTAAGCTGACTTCTGGCTCTCAAACAGCTTTTGTTTGAATTTGGCAGCATTTCACAGATTATTCCACTAAATGTTAACAGTTACAAGATTTCTGTTAATTTACAACATTTCGAAAAAATATTTCACTGAAATCTGCAGCAATTGAAAGAACATTCTACGTTAATGTAAAAGTTACAAATTTTCTATCAACCCTTTCACCACTGTAGACCATAATGGACCCCTCCATATCAATGCATGGTAGAGTCTACTAGAGTTACAAAGGGGTGAAAGGGTTAAATTGGCAGTATCTAATCGAATATTCTTCTTCAATGTTGCAATGTTTCAGTTATATAAATGTACTGAAAAATAGGTGAGATCTTTTCTTAGCTCAAACTCTGATTTCAAAAATAATTTAAAATGAAATCTCTTTTGAGTAAAAATCTTGTTTATACAATAAACACTCTAGTCAGACTCCAGATCCAAGGTTTTTGCCAGAAAACTCACGCAGATCAGGGTCATCCTCATCCTTGACTGGCTGTATTTCAAAGCTAGTGGTGACCTGCGGCCCTGGGCTGCCCGAAATTTCAGTCTCCTTTATTGTTTGGCCTTAAACACAAAACGTATCACAGATCAGGCAAATGAAATAACATGTTCCATTAAAATCGAACTCAAGTTAATCCAAAATCAAGTCAGATTCAGAACAGTCTTAAACACTTATTCACCAGTTACTCATCAGTTATAATGCTTGCATTGTTCGACAATCATTTTCTATATATATTGTGTAACCTGTATAATTCCACTTCCTTCGAGGACATAATACATTGTACAGATAAACCTATCTATTCTGACACCCTGTGGGTCACAGCAAACTGGTCAACTTTACCTGTCTTATCTGACATCCTGTTAGACACAAAGTATTAGTAAGATTAGCCTGTCTAATCTGACACCCTGTTGGACACAACGTAATGATTATATTTACCTGTCTAATCAGACACCCTGTGGGACACAACATACTGGTCATATTAACCTGTCTAATCTGACATCATGCAGGAAACAACAAGTTGGTCAGATAAACCTCTATAATCTGACTGCCTACAAACATCATACATGGGTCAGATTGGACAGACTGTCAGAATAAACAGGTTAGTATTGTTTGTTTCCCTAAAATATTGGATTACATCACTATTTTGGATTAGCCAGGATGTTAGAATATTCAGGGGGCCAGATTAGACAGTTTTTACCACTCTTTTTGTCCAAGTTAACAAATTTCCATTGTATTTCTAAATAAATTTACAATCACTCTCTCGTCATTTTAATTTTTTAAAGTTTTTGCAACATAAATAACTTTTTATTCCAAACAGATCCTTGATGTAAAAGCTGAAATAGCGTAGAAGATGTAGATCAAAATCACAAAGCTTTAGTCTGCATTGTACAAAACACTGTAGTGACATTGAGGAGCAGTATGTATGTATGATGTTCCGTGCAGACTACAGACAAGAGACATCAGCTTCACAGAGAAAACAAGTCTAGCAGTGATTCAGTACATAGTGTTCAAATAATGTAAAGGTTGATTTTGTCATGGATTCTAATTTTGAGACTTTTCATGGTTACAATTTGTTCCGAAAAAATACATCCTGTAAAATAATAGCATATTAATCTGACCAGGACATTGTGCCTTGACCACTAAATCTTATATCTATGAAAAAGTGATCCCATGATAAAAGAGACTTTTACAGTATTTTAGAAACACTAGCAGTGTGTCAACATATTAGGTTCAGAGTTTTATATATGTAGAGACTACAGGAAGAGAGAGAGAGTTATAATGTTATCTTCTGTCTTACTTCACTCGTCTCAAGGACTCTTTGTTTACTGGGAAACACGTTTTACAGACTTTCCCAAGTTACACCTCATTTTACTAATCCTGTCACATAGGTCTACTTACTACTACTCTAGATAAAATTCGAATTTTTCTTTCTGTTTTCAATTAAATAATCTTGTCGTAAATAAACTATCCTCACTTACTGCAGTTGTAGACATAACAAGTATATATCTTAGACGGAAGATATTTTTACATAGGTTTTTCTTGTTACATTTATGAATGTTTTCTGCGATAATTAAGCAAGCATAGTGAAGTTGGTTATGAGGTGTGTTAATCTGTTGAATATTCAATGACTGAATATTCATTGAGTTACAACATGTGAAAATCAGTTGAATATTCATATAAGTAATGACACGTGAAATCTACTGAATATTCATTAAGTTAAAACATGTGGAAATCTGTTGAATATTCATATAAGTAATGACACGTGAAAATCTACTGAATATTCATTAAGTAATGACATGTGAAAATCTACTGAATATTCATTAAGTTAAAACACGTGAAAATCTACTGAATATTCAGTAAGTTAAAACATGTGAAAATCTGTTGAATATTCATATAAGTAATGACATGTGAAAATCTACTGAATATTCATTAAGTAATGACATGTGAAAATCTACTGAATATTCATTAAGTTAAAACATGTGAAAATCTACTGAATATTCTTTGAGAAATCTATGAGATAAGTGGAATAGACAGGTGTGAGGTCTACCACAGCAGATAGATCTCAAACTAGTCAAGGTCAGATACCTATAGAAGTCAACCAGTTAAAACACATAGAATATGTCATTGTGTATGTGATTTTATGTGATTTTAGACTAATTACAGGGAAAGTAACTTATACCATTTCTAACTATGTTTATAACTAGAGACTAGCTATTACAGGGAAAATGACCAAGAATGCCATCTTAGCTGTCACTACCTATTTATAAAGCTATTGACACCAGGCTCATGCAAGATGAATTATGAATATATAGTAATGTATATATATGTGTAACAGGAATACAGACTATAGATATACATGTCCACAACTTTGACCTAACATACCATACCCTTCAACTTGGGCATGAGTTTGTATATAAATGATGAATTGATATAACATGCTATCTATCCATTATTAAACAGACCCAGTGCTCTGGACATGCAGTGGTTATGAACAGTTTTTGCTATGTGAACAAATATGCTGCTTCGTGAAGTAAATTACTGCTTTGATACGTGAAGTTAAACGTCATAGGAACAGATTTTTTGTTAAATGAACAGACTTGTTGCCATGTAAATATATTTGTTGCTATGATAAAAGACTTGGTGTTATGTTATCATCTTTGTATGTAAACAGTCTCGTTGCTTTGTAAACAGACTTGTTGTTATGTAAACATACTTGTTGCTATGTAAACAGACTCTTTGTTGCTATGTAAACATACTCTGTTGCTATGTAAACAGACTTGTTGCTATGTAAACAGACTTGTTGCGATGTAAACAGACTTGTTGCGATGTAAACATACTTTGTTACCAAACTTAATCATATGTATAGAATACCTGTCACTATTTCTGGTTGGTGCCACGTGCACAGTTTTTTTTATTCACCCCTTTCATCAGATAAAATGTTCATGCCTATAATTTCATAACATAAACTGACCATTGGTCAGCATAACCTGACCAGTACACCCTCACTCTGGCTTAGACAGTTATAGCTACACACACGGAAATACATGTTGATTAATCCTGATACTGCTATTGACTGCATACACCACCAAAAAACATTTACATAACTTTTAAGATCTGTCACAAATAATTGCATTTTTTTAACGAAATCCATTCAAAAACATTATATGCTCATGTGATATTGCATTAAGTAGACAAAAATCTATTTTAATTTGTTATAGGACAAGAGTTAGTTTATCAAGAACAGTGGATAAAATGTTTCTTTCCTTTTTATTTCAATATTTTAATCAATGAACATGATTTCAATGTATGTGTTACAAGAAGCTAGGGTTATAGATTAAAGCAGGGTTGCCCCGCCCCCCAGGCTGGAGGGGAGGGGTGAAATACACACATAGGGCTGCCCCAGCCCCCGGGTAAGGAGGGAGGGGTGCAGTACACACACAGGGCTAACACTATACCTGAGAGGACTATCTCTGGCAAAACACTTTTTCGTATGTCACCTATAAAAGTTTAAAGGTTGCAGGCAAAACTTACGACAAACACATTCAAGTTAATTATAATGTTTAACAACCAGCAGCCATTACAAAATGTCAGCCATGCATTGCCAGCAACATAACTCAAAATTCTGCTATAGTCTGTTTCCAAAATGTAACACTCAGAAAGGATAGCGAGCGACATAACTCAAAATTCAGCTATAGTCTGTTTCCAAAATGTAACACTCAGAAAGGACAGCGACATAACTCAAAATTCAGCTATAGTCTGTTTCCAAAATGTAACATTCAGAAAGGAGAACTGTGAAGTTGTTATATTTAAAAAGTTTATAATTTTGTGATTTTTTTTTCCGTAATACAGTCACAGAGTTATATTTCGTATATCATCATAAGAGTAAACTAACTGATTTCAGCTACGTTTTTTTCTTTCTGTTGTTTACGCATGTTTTTCTTAGCAATACATTTTTTCTATATGCTAAGACTGGAAACATCCAGGAAGAAACCTGCTTTCTTCTCTACAGTCAGCTTTCTGAGAATCACGGAAATAACAAAAACTTCCACAACACATTCCAAAATAAAAAGGAATAATGAAATTCTAAAGAAATAGAAATGACCATCATACACAAATATTTCAAATAAGATAAAACAAAATAAATTTGATAAAATAAATGTAAATCACAAAATACAACATCAGTCAAACCTTGTTATTTGATAATTACTTAACTCATGCACCCCTACAATTTCAAACTGGACCTGCCCAGTCATTGATTTGGTAAGATTCAAATGTGATTTTAGGGGTAAATTGGTGAAGGTACTGTATTTGATTTAAGAATCCCTGTCCCACTGCACGGTGATTTTTCCTGTAGGCAGTTATCTCCCCTTAACTTCCGTGTGGCTATAACTGTAGAATAATCGAACCAGGACACTTCCGCCGACCAGGTAGCTCAATCTGTTAGAGAGATAGTCTACCAGCCTGAAGTTCAGGATTGGAAACCAGATTTAGACCACAATTTTTATTTTTTTATTAACAGAATACTGTTTTTGATTATATTTTGTTTATTTCGTTTTTATTATTTCTCATAAAAGTCGTACAAGGTATGGTTTACTTTTCATAATTAATTTATCAAAGCCCTAGTAAATCAGTTTCCAATACTTAGTACATTTTTTTGGTACTGGGATCCTTAAGATACAAATGGATACCATATTTGAACTCATAAACGCCCCATTCCTTATAAAGCCTCTTCCTCTTTTTCTGCTCCGATCATCCCATCCCTTCACCATAATTTGCCTGACATGAAATGTCTTTTGTAGCAATTTTTGAGAATTTTGTAGAGGTCTGTAATTATTCAAATTTTCCAAATTTGTTAAGCATACAGGGCGCTTATTAGGGCAAACACAGCATGCCAGTTGGATGGAAAGATTTCAATTGCAGTCATAATAACAAGGTCAGACAGCTAGGACAGGAATGCTTAGGAACAAATACAACAACAAGAAATGTACGAGGATACTGACCTTTTCCTTTGAATATATTAGATAGCGGTCTCTTATTATCTTTATCTTTCTTTTTACAGTTGTCTTCTAATCGTTCTATACACCGTGTATGTATATTTTGTTCACAATCTGTAACATAATGTAATACAATGTCAATTAATTGTCATACAATGTCAATCAATCATTATTAGACAATGTCAAATAATCATCACAAAATTTCAATTTATTGTCCATGGAAACCATTTATTCTATAGTTTTAAGTATCCACAGCAACCATTACTTTTACAGTCTGAAGTTTCCATGGAAACCATTACTTTTACAATCTTAAGTTTCAATGGAAACCATTACTTTTACAATCTTAGGTTAATTTCCATCGAAGCCATTACTTTTACAGTCCTAAATTTCCATGGAAACTATGACTTTTACAGTCTTAAGTTTCCATGGAAACCATTACTTTTACAGTCTGGAGTATCAATGGTATCTTACTTTTACAGTCTGATGTTTCCATGGAAACCTTTACTTTTACAGTCTGAAGTTTCCATGGAAAGCATTACTTTTACAGTCTGAAGTTTCCACGGAAACCATTACTTTTACAATCTTAAGTTTCAATGGAAACCATTACTTTTACAATCTTAGGTGTTAATTTCCATCGAAGCCATTACTTTTACAGTCCTAAATTTCCATGGAAACTATTACTTTTACAGTCTTAAGTTTCCATGGAAACCATTACTTTTACAGTCTGGAGTATCAATGGTATCTTACTTTTACAGTCTGATGTTTCCATGGAAACCTTTACTTTTACAGTCTGAAGTTTCCATGGAAACTATTACTTTCACAATCTTAAATTTCCATGGAAACCATTACTTTTACAGTCTGAAGTTTCCATGGAAACCATTACTTATCAGTATTCATGAAAACTGTTACTTCTACAGTCTGAAGTATCAATGGTATCTTACTTTTACTGTTTTTACTTGACTGTAAAACTTACTTTTACACAAGTAGCCCTGGTAGCCGACGCCCCATATCACAGTTTTACAATACATACACGTCTCTACCTTGATGTAATGGGTCGGCTCAAAGTTATGGCCTCTATGTGGCTGCAACATACAAATCATGATTACACATAATAAGTCACGATAACACATAATAAATCATGATTACATAACGACATGATTACATACTTGCTGATCATATAAATCATTATCTCCCACAGTAAATCACGAGTCTTATTAAATATATTCTGATAACATTAGTCTTGATTACTGATACATTGATTCAAAAATCTTGATTTGATATTTATTGATACAAAAACATGATTACATATTTAACTGATCACACATATCATTATCATGATCATAGATTTACTACCAGTGATAATATAAATCCTGAAATATTGATGAAATGAATGATGATTTACTTATAAAACAAATACTGTAGTTATCCTATATACAATAAGCCCAGGGTGCCGTCATATAATCTCCCGACTCAAAGTATGGGTTGGGCGTATTACAGGACAATGAAATAACACTTGTTAGCATTTCTACTGAACTGTTTTAGATATTGGTGGGACTATTACTGAACAAATAGGGTACTGTTTCACTCATCACATCAATTTTGATTTATTTATCAGGCAATTCACATTAAATTGAAAATAAAACACATCATACTGTATACTGTGAAATTTTCGCGCTTTGGCAGAATAATCCAGTGTTAATTTCTCCCTTCACATTTGATTACTATAAATATAATGTTGCTTATGAATATTGGCTGAAATGATGAATTTGCCTTCATTATGGAGGGCGAAAATGGCGAAAAATTAAACTGCAGTGAAAATTGCCCAGTATGCAATATTGATAACAGAAACTACGGTTAGTCATACTGATGAGTACATGTTATAAGTACGATGGCCGTATTTACCCGTTTAGTAGGTTTACTGGAGTGGCGGATGCCTTTCCTGTCCCGACAGACGAAGCTGGGCACCTTGTCTAGACTGGAATTATGTTTGTTGTAGCCCACGTAGCGGAGGAATGTTGATAGCGCCCAGCACACAGCCTGCTCTCGGTCATTCTTAATATCCGTATCAGTTTGCCTGATGAATACAAGATGTCAGTCCTATTTTAATATCGGTATCAGTTTGCCTGATGAATACAAGATGTCAATCATATTTTAATACCCGTATCAGTTTACCTAGCAAATTTACAAGATGTTAGTCATTTGAAATTTCTATATCAGCTTGCATAGCAAATACAAAATGCATGTACTCATCGGGTGCATGGTTAACAAAACAAGTCAGAGTGTAAATTTTAGGCAATTCAAAATTGTCCCCGCCTTTTAACAAATTTCGGAATAAAACGGAGTAAAGGCACATTACTTTTTTATATACGGAAAGGAATTAAGACCTGAATTTTTGTTTACTTCATCTTAGTTTGCCATACACTGTTAACCAAAGAGGTACTCGATCACAAAATTTGGCAACTCAAAGTGAGGCAAATGCGACATGCTCGGTCAACAAAGGGCCATAACCCATATAGTAAGTTTTACTTTTGTACTTACGTCAACGTCTTTTCCAGGTGTCTTAACAGGTATTTTTCTATTACTTCCATTTCCTCTCGTTTCTTCATGCTGTCTCTCACTTCGTGAGCACCAAACATGTTACCCATACCTGTAACGAGAATCATACATTACAATTCATACGGTAGCTACACTTCAGCGTGAAATCTTCGGAGTTGGCCGTAAACAAAGGGTGATAGCGTAACTCTGCACATATTATTATGTTTGGACTTAGTTTACAAGGGTCAACATTTAAATCTTTTAAATAGTATCACTGATAAAATGAATCTTAACCCTTTCACCACCGTAGACCATAATGGACTTATCCAGATCAATGCATGGTAGAGTCTATTAAAGTTACATAGGGTTGAAAGGGTTAAATTCCTTTTACAAATATTGTTGTCTCAGCATATTTATCAATTATGGACTTCTGTTTGGGTGAATATGTAGTTATAATTATATGGACCTGAGAAAAGGATAGGATCCTGAAATAGTCAATGATGATTATCCTTTTCACCACTGCAGACCATAATGGACTCATCCAGATCAAAGCATGGTAGAGTTTACTTTAGTTACATAGGGGTTGAAGGGTTATTCATCCACAATGAACAAGCCTATGGAACATGAATATTAACCCTTTCACCACTGTTGACCCTAATAGACTGGCCCCGATCAAAGTATAGTAGAGTCTACTCAAGTTGCATAGGGGTGAAAGGGTTAAAAATGTGTCTGTATGGTGGGATACTTACCCATGTCTTTCTTTTGTCTAAACATAGTGAGTTGTGACTCGATTTCGTCGACAACTGCCTGGTGCGCGGTGAGGAAGAGGGCTTTCATGCCTTCTTCTTGTTCCAATCTCTCCAGGACTACTTTCACTCCTAATCCAATCTCCTCGTTAATGTTTAGTCTCAGGGGCTAATAACACACAGAGGCATATACTGTTTATACAACAAACATCAAAATGTATTATTCACAAACATCATTTCTAAATTTCAATTAACTTATACACATATACTTATTTCAAAAATATTAATGTACAAAAGTGAAAATGAAAACATGGCTCAGAAGAACGTGAAATACAGTTAGGTATAACATTTGGCAGAATGATCCAAATTTTTCCAATTTTGTTAATTCATGACTCAATAATCCCAGAATGGAAAGGTATTCATGACTCCATAATGACAGAATGGAGAGGCAGGTAGAAAGTCAATTTCAAGCAACTCTTCCTTTTGAATCCAGCAAAGTATCAGGTAAATTTGATGGCACAGAAATGCAATACTTACGGCTCCTTCGACTAGAAACGTAGAGTAAATTTCATATGCCCATTTCTTCCAGTCCTGGAGGCCGCCCTTGGCAGTATTATACAAACTGACCGTTACATAGAATAACTGTAAAAATACAATTTTAATGATCAGGGGCACAATAACTTCATGTATCAAAATCACATATGAACAAGATTCTCAAACTGATGCCATTTAAACAGGGCAGAGTATTGCAAGGCAATCCATAGTCCCTCCACCGGTAATGATTTCGATATATAACAAATAGTACACTTATGACAGGATGTACCTTCTGTTCGGAAAGTATCCTGATACATAATACAACATTAAAGGCATGTTTGTTATGGTCAAGTTGTTTTGTTGCCAAAAAAAGAAATTAGCAATATGGTAATATAAAGAAAATCTGGTTACTCCAGGTGAAATCGTACATAACATATGACCAGGACAAACTTTTTCAATAGTTAAGGTCGAAGGTCAAAGCATAGGTCACAGTGGGGTCGTAGTGACCTAATTCTTGCAATTTGCACTCGGCTATCCCAAGATGTCCATGTACACCAAATCTAGTTATGCCAGGTGAAATAATAAAGTGGATATTTTCCAGGTAAACTTCTCGGCCAGACGGACGGGCGGAGTGCAAACCAATGTTTGGTTTTTAAATCCAAAATGCACAAATGAATGTGATAACGATCCAATGTTAATCACAATGAGACATTGCATGTAAGACGTACTAACTGAAAGGCCATCCTCAATATCCAGGGTTACGCTCACTTTGGCTCTCTGCGCCCCTGAAATATGTCATAGCAATATTTAAGGCACATGGCTACAGCTATTTGATTGGTCTGACCAATCGCTAGGCTGATATCCGTCTTTTGACGATTAAGGAGGAGCGACACCCCCGCTGTCAAAGCCAGTCAATTTTACCGTCACGTGACTGAGAGATTCTTTTGATGTACATCAAAGGATCCAACTAGCCTTCTCATCTCATCCACAAGGTGGCGCACAGCAGGCCTTCAATTTTGCTATGACATATGATATTCCAGGGGTGCGGAGAGTGAAAGTGAGTGTAACCCCTGGAGTATCGAAGATGATCCATCATCCAAGTCAGCAACCTACATTTCACATATTAGTGTAGTCCTCCTTAACTTATTCACCCCTACATCTCTGAATTGGACTTGCCCAGTCATTGATCTGGTAAGGTTCAAATGTGACTTTAGGGGTGAATGAGTTAAGTAATACAAAATATGACCGAAATGTTGAAAGGATTGACTAACACACATACAGATGGAAAAGTCAAACACTAAATTTCCCTTCTTCCATTGCTCAGGGAATGTATTGTGACGGTAGTGATATCAACATCTTCATTTACAATTTACCAACCATCACTGCAGTCTCAGTTATAGCTACCAGATCAATTTAACATAGCGTACCATAGTCACAGTAATGAATGCCCGGCCTTTATCAATTGCAACCCTTAATTTTCCAGCGATTATTGAATGGTATCAGTGCCTCTTTGGCAAACACCCTCCAGGCTGGCCCTCTGCAGTTAACAAAATATGTCTTTACCTCAGACACAACAGCCTCACAACTGACAAGACTGTGTCCCAGTGTTAAGGAAGAAGAAGAAGAAGAAGATCCCAGTTTTATAGAAGAAGAAGCAATATAACTACTGGATACATTCAAGGGGAATATTTTTAAAATGTTCTTCTTCTTATTCTTCTTCCTCTTCTACTCCTTTCTTTTTACAGCAACTGACACAACCTATGTTTGTTATCTTAACAAGAGCCCCTTCAGTTAATATGCCTGGGCACAAATGACTGTATACCGGGAAATTTTCGCCCAGTCAAACTTTCGCCCTTCGCAACAATAATCCTGATTCGCTCAGTGTTCATTGTCGCCCTTCACATTTAATTCCTTTACTTATTATGCTATTAACTAATACTCGCTGTATTGATAAAATCGACAGGCGAAAAGGTCGAAAAAATCAAACTGCAGCGAAAATTTCCCGGAATACAGTATCGCGAAAACTGTACACAACATCATTTGTTTTTTGTGATCTATATATAGAAGATGACTCACAAAAGCAGAAGGGTCATGGTTCTCCACCAGGAGGAAGTTGAGGAAGATGGCTGTGTGGGCTGGCTTGTTGTCCAACTGTCGTAGACTGTTAAATGGACCGTGATCGTCTGTCTGTAAAAGAAGATAAAGGTTAGAGGTCAATCACACAGGTCAATGACAAAGGTTCTTAGGTCAGATATATTGGTAACAATTTCAACGTTGTACATTAAGTGTGTCATATCAAACCAATCATACATCTGTTTAGGTTTATATTGAGATAAATAAGATCACGTTGTAGGCTTTGATTTTCCCAAAAAATAATAATTGTATTTTACTATTTGTTTGTAGAGCATAAATTCTGACTTAAGCTGGTTTAACTCATACACCAATATGACCACAGCATGTAAATTTTATCCCTGAAGACACATTTCAACTCTTCCAATTCAAAGGGTGGATGGAATAGTTCATTATAAAATTTCGGGGGTGAATGAGTTACAATGGGGGAAAAAATGCTTTAGTCAGCAGTGAAATTAAGGGAAGGTAGTGAAGGCTAGGAACACAATGCTTCATATGACCTGGCTGCTTAAATGGATGGAATAAACTACCGTTTACCGGGAAACGTTTGCCCTTCGATGGTAAAAATGCATTTTCACCCAATATTAAATTTGTCCTTCACATTTAATTACTATGTATATTATGTTGTTTACAAATGTTTGATGTTATATCAACTCATTTATCCCTAAAATTTCATTATGAACTATTTCCAGCCTTTTGAATTGGAAGAGTTCAAATGTGTTTCTGGGGTGAATGAGTAACTTGCATGTAAAAACGTGAAAATTAAACTGCGGCAAAAAATTCCCAGATATATAGTATTTAAATATCATGGCCTTTGTTATGTTGAAAATTTGCTTATTTGAGTGTTGTTAATAAAATAACTAGCCAATCAATCGTTGAAGAATCTCCATATGTCTAATGTTAATATTGAGAGACCAGATTATGAGAGAATTAAAGTCCACTACGGGTGTTAAATTATGTTAGTGATAAATTGTACAAAGATTATGAATATAATTACAGTAGATACAGCTAATACAGGTGTTTACATGAATGTACAGAACAGGTGAGGGAAAAGAGATATAAAATCAGTTCCTACGTAACTATATACCTACGAAACATTTTTTTTTTAAATTATCTCCCTTTGATTGGCAATGCCTACACCATTTCAAAGGATGTTTTTATATTATTATTTATACATGGTAACATATTTAAATATAAATATAATTTTCAATATGGCCCTGTTTATCAGCTTAAATTTTACACAGTTATTTCCCTTCTTACAGGTTAAATGGCTTGATTCCTGTTTTATTGTCCATTATCATTGTCCTGAAAATCATATGGAAATTCTAAATGGAGCGCACAATTCATTTCGGCATTAAGATTAAATATTGTCCCTATAATATACAGGACTGCAAAATCACATCATCCCACAGCCTTTACTAGCTCCCAACCAACATAACAATTTATACACAAAACTTTCAGTGCTGTTCCTCTGCTAAAGTGGATTTATATTCCAGAATCAGAGGAAAAGTATCCCTGTCCCACTGAAGGTAAAAAACTAAAGAATTCCATAGTAGTTTTCTAACAGAGAGTAACCTCCCCTTAATTTTTCACCATAACAGGGCCAGAATAACCTCCCCTTAATTTGTCACCGTAACAGGGCCAGGGTAAAACTAGGTAGCTCAGCTGTTTAACACTTTAAAATGATCGGAGGACTTAGATCTAATGCTGGCTTTTATTTACACCTAGAAAAATGCTGTATAATCATTTTTGTCAATTTCATCTTTATTACAACCAAGCTTCCGCAGGATATAGCTTTCTTTTCAGAAATGATTTATCAGAGCTACAGTGATGCTGGGATAAAAAAAGTCTAATTGCACTTTTACAGTTTCAGGAAGTGGTATGGGATCCTTAAGCTAAAACCTACAAGACTCTTTCATGCCCTGGGGTGTAGGATAGTAAAATCCAGAGGGTGGAATTTCCCTTTCATATATCCTTGGGCATGAAAGAGTATTTTTCTCTCATTCCAACTACCAGAATAAGCTCAGAAACCATGGAAATGCATTTGGACTGGCCACCATTTTGGAAATATCAATTTTCCCCCGGAGCATTTCAGACGAAAACAAATGAGACAGCTAGATTGAGCACATCCCATATCTGCAAACAAAGTTTGCGCAGAAACATTTTATCAAATCTTTCTAAATATATCATAAAAGGTTTTAATTTTATCTTGTCGCCTTTTCGACATTAAGGCATCGGAGACTTCCAAATTCGCGACATCACGTCATTGTTGAGCCATTGTGACGTCACGTCACGTCACGTGAAATGGGGTGTAAGATAGAAATTTCCTACACCCCTTTCTTACTCTGGACAGCTCCATCTTACACACAGGGAAATGAGAAAAAGAGTATTTACTGTATACTGTATACTGTGTAATAGTGAGGGATATTGTGTGTGACAGATTATAATGACAGGGACAATGTGACCGGACATGAAAAAACAAATTCAACCCAAATTGTATCCTCAACCTTTTTGCCAAAATTTGGATGAAAATGGACCAAAATTCAGAATCATTAGTCTTGAATAGGTTTTTTTTATAATTTTTTAACAGGTGTCAATGTGAGGCCAGCTGTCTTTCATATCAAGATGGTATTAGGTCAGAGGTTAGTTTGTGAGTGAAGGTTCAGAGGTCACAATTAGTGAAAACATACATAAGAGGTCAAATGTCGGATTTAATGAGAATAAAGATATGAGATCAGAGGTCAAAGGTCACAGACCATGAAAGTGGATGGTCACACTATAGGTTTTATGAAAGGTATATGAGGTCAAATTTGTATGATTGTGAGAAGAGTTCAGAGGTCAAAGTTTGCATGATTGTGATAAGAGGCCACAGGTCAGATAGAAATAAAGAGGTTTGAGGTTATTGTGTTAATTCCTCTAAATGTTATCCAAGTCTAGCCTCTTTGAAATATGTTAGGTCAAAGTTCATTTTCATGTCAGAGATCAAAGTTCAGTTTACAGAAGGCAAATGTGAGCTAAGAGGTTTGATCCAGTTAGGAGGTATGACCTCAGAGTTTAAACTTGTTCAAAATATAAGGTTAAAGGTCAGAGTTTAGCTGAAGTGTAAGCAAAAAGGTTAAAGGTCAGAGTTTAGCTTGCAAAAAGGTTAAAGGTCAGAGTTTAGCTTAAGTGTAAGCAAAAAAAAGGTCTGAGTTTGAAAGAAGTTGAGATGAGGTCAGTATATTAAAATGAAAAGGGGAATTAAAGTGCCATAGCCATGATAAAAGCAATGTAAACCTCGAGAGTCTGTAGTCGGGCGAGGAATGAGGACACAACAGGTTGGGAGGTCTTCCTCTCCAACGACAGCTGAAAGTAACATCATACTGACCATGTTAGCTAGCTACACTCGGACAAGTTCACTAGGCTAATTATTAAATCATTTTAGTGGAACTGTATTCAGCAAAAATATCGTATATATTTATATATATATATATATATATAAAAAATATTGATAGGCAGAGAAAGTAATTTTTTATAAGATGTATTTGTCAGTAGGGCAATGTAGCAGAAAAATAAACATTCTACCAGCAGAGTGGCTATTGGTTGCACCAACAAATTATTTCATGGGGCAAAAACTCACAAGGCCAAAATATTTCAGGGGAGATAACCCTATTGAGCCTAAATAAATTTAAGGATCCCTGTCCCACTGCACTGTGGTTTTTCTATATTTACATTTTGTATGCTTGGACCCATTGACAATGCCATTTTTGCATAACACAGGTGACCTCATCACTGCGTATTGATACACTACAATGACGAAGCACAGGCGTACTTGGTTCACGTCTGCCGTGAAACACTGCCCTTGATGTAGATTTGTAACGCTAATATGATTGGCTTGATTTTGAAGCTTAATTAAGGTGTGTAAAGAATGTGATATAAATATACGACTTGTATAAATTCTACAAATTAGATTTTGAAAGTGGAACTATATTTTGTTTTGTTGTGATGCTGTTGCTAGGACCCCGGAAAATTTATTTTTTCAACATTCATGAGGTCATAACAACATTGGCTTTCTGGACATATTTAACATGAATTGTGTTCAGAATATGTCCAGAAAGCCAATGTTGTTATGACTTCATGAATGTTGAAAAAATACACTTCATTCCTTAAATAAACAGCAACCTCCCATTTACTTACAATGTGATGTAACTGAAGCATAGTTGGGCCACTACACTGTGGTCAACCAATGGCTCACTCAGATAGTTTAGCAGTCTTTATTTTTGAAAATCAAGCCCCGCCTGAGGCGTTTTCTTTTTCTCGTAACACTGTTGTTGATTATAGTTTATTTATTTCATCTAAATAAAAAACAAAACATACAAATTCCCACAAGGTAAGGTTTTCTTTTCAGAAATGATTAATATAAACTTTAGACACACCAAAAGAAAACACTTTCCAATACTTATTTACAGTTTATGGCAGTTGTACCAGGATCCTTAACTCATTCACCCCTAAAGAAACATTTGAAATCTTCCAACTCAAAGGTTGGAAAAGTTCATTACGAAATTTCAGTGGTGAATGAGTTAACTCACAAGGTTTGAATAAAGGAAGATATCAAATTATTTTAATTTTATTCCGGGGTACATATATGTTTCTTTCATACGTTGCCCAGTCAACAGCTATAATACAGCTGGCCGGGTACATACATGAAAGTATTATTAGTAGTATCACAGCTGTTATATCCCCTTAGCCCATATATGTAGGTAAAATGTTTTCGTAATAAATTATTATTTGCTTATAATCTCAATCTGCCTTTGAGTCTTTTGTTCATAAATTGAAACTTATGTACATAAGTGTGGTTTATGAACTAAGACAAGTCTACCTTTTCACACGCAGGCGCTTTAGGCAGTTAGGTCAGCTATGGTCAGTTTCAGCCACGTGACACGGTGGTCAAGTACAGTCAGTGATTGGTCAGTTCAGTCACGTGACTCAGTCTTTGTTTGGGTCAGTTTCAGCAGCAGGTTTGCAGTAGATTTGTATGTCTGATTATTTCGTGACCCACCGCCCTCCCCAACCAACCAACCACAAGACTATTTCAGGTGATGCCTGGGGATATAATGGCTGTTTATAATAAGGCATTTATGTGAGTAAACACTTGCCAGCTGTTTCCGAGCATGGAAAATCACACCTCCCCCTTCCATTAAGGAAGTTAGGGATGGTGGCCCGCTCTGCAGCAAGTTCCTTTAAACATTCTATTCTTTAAACTTGTTTCGAAGGGGCAGTTACTCATTTTGTAATTCGTAATCCCCCAAGAATTTTATTCCGGGGTACATATATGTTTCTTTCATACATTGCCCCGTCAACAGCTATAATACAGCTGGCCGGGTACATACATGAAAGTATTATTAGTAGTATCACAGCTGTTATATCCCCTTAGCCCATATATGTAGGTAAAATTTTTTCGTAATAAATTATTATTTGCTTATAATCTCAGTCTGCCTTTGAGTCTTTTGTTCATAAAAAAATATTTTAATAGGTTATCTCCCCTGAAAAATAGTTTTTCACACTTTGTAGAAATGGTTGTTACAAAACATAGTGCAGTGAAAAGGTTACGATGAAGACGGTGCAAAACAGACGCACTGTGACATTTAAATATGAAGCATTTAGCAGAGTACAGGTCAAAATAAGAATAACGTGAGTTAGTTTAGAATCAATGTAAGTTAAGCCACTGCAGAAATATCCTCAAATGTCAAAAATGCCAATGCTCTATATCTCAATTCTTTCTTTCTACTTCTAAAATTCCTGAGGAAATTTTGATATATGTAAATGGTTTTTCAATGTATTGATATTCATGTTGTCAGGGTTGTAAGGGTTTATTCACCCCTGCTATTCAACCTTCAGTGTGAAAGACTGATATTAATATTGTAACGTTTCTTCAACCCTGCAAAGATGTGATGCAAACTATTTAACTCATTCACCCCTAGTCACATTTGAACTCTTCCATTTCAAAGATTGGAATTGTTCATTCTGAAATTTCAGGGGTGAATGAGTTAACACAGGCAAATATTGACAAGGGAGGTAACTTTTGACAAGGGAGATAACTGCTGACAAGGGGGATTATATTGTAGCTATGTGCATGAAAAAACAATTAATTGTACTGACTATTCACGTTACTTTAAAAGGGAGATAACTGTTCAAAATTGCAGGTAACTGTACAAAACTGTAAAAATATTGGAGATAGCTGTTGAAAAAGGAAAAGTACTATTGTTAAGAAATATTAATGTGCTGATGATATATACTGAATGAATAATGAGGGTTTTATGTCTTTGAAACAACTTAATTTATATGACAACATGTCCACAACCCAAAGGAGTGCTGGTTGGTGATAGTGTTGCTTTAATGCCTCTTAAAAGTGTCATTTCACTGAAATTTCATGATTTGAAAATCATAGAGGGTGCAGACAAGGGAGGTAACTGCTGTCGAGGAAAGTAAATCTTACCTGTGCATGTTCCTCATCGGATTGGAACTCATCGTCCTCCATGGCTATGATAAACTGCTGAGGTCGGTCAGCTTTGCTGGGGTTCACAGTTGGATCCTGAAAATACACAACATCTGACATAATGCATTAACTCATTCACCCCTTAAGACACATTTGAACTCTTACAATTCAAAGGTTGGAATAGTTCATTATAAAATTTCAGGGGTGAATGAGTTAAAGCTACTTGAAATTACTTTATACCAATTGGAATTATTGCTCAAGAAGCACTGCTCAAATATTGACATTTGCTCTTTTTATAAACTAGACACCTAAGGGAACTTACATATCAACTTTGAGAAAGAACTCTCCATTACTTTCTGAGAAATACCGATAACAAACCATAGCTGTAATAATTTAAGATGTCCGTCTGTTGGCAATTTTTTTAGCCGACCAGTCTCAAAAGTTAATATGCACAACAAAGTACCAAGGGGAACCTACATTTCAAATCTGAGATAGATCCCTCTAGTTTCTTTCTGAGTAATAGTGGCTACAAGAATTGTTTAAGGATGTACCAGGGAAACAGGGTCATTTGAATAGCCCACCATCTAATGATGGTGGGCTTAAAACGCAAATATTTGTTTCAGATTTAGCATTTTTACCTAGCCTATATATTTTTGGAATTATGTATGTGTAACAGAAGTCATTATATATGCCTCCCCTAGGAGTCGAACCCGAGACCTCTGGTTTACCAGTCCTACGCTCTACCGAATGAGCTGAAGAGAAATTCTCCCCTAGCCGAGTCAGTAGGAAGCGGCTAGTATTTTAACAGGGTCACATATGAAACACACCTTTCTAGGAATTTGGACTTATTCTGCTGTCTTTCACTTATGACACTGTTTTTCAAACAGGTGAGATTATTCTGTTGTTTCTATCCGCTAAAAACTTGCCTTGTACGTCACAGATTCAGTACATGTTTTATGAAAACAATTAATGAGAACAAATCATCAAAAGGTCAAACTGATAAAATACCAAGAAACTTTACTGAAAGACTTTATGACCCCAGATACCTAAAAATAATATTCAAGAGCCATCTTCAAGAATAAGTCATGAAAAATATCAACATTTTCTTTAAAAACAACATTTCAGATATATTGAAGCTCTTTGAAAATATTTGGAAAAATCTTAAAAAATACAAAGAAAATGTTTGAATTTTGAAAAATAAATCAAAAAGTCAATAAGGAAATTTTCAAGAGCTGTTACATTTTCCAGTAATAAAAGATCGACTATTTCCATGATTTTATAGCATTAAATGTGAGTTGTCTCCCTTAGACTGGTGGCTGCATAACAGATATCCAGCCAGATATGACATTTTTATGACTCTTAACCCTTTCACCAATGTAGATCAAAATGGACTCATCCATACCAATGCATGGAAAAGTCTACTAAAGTTGCATAGGGGTGAAAGGGTTAAAAGGTTCACAAATGCAGATGGTTTACAAAAAGCAGAATCTTAAGTTACATCTATACTTATAATTATAATTTTACAACAATACTTTTTTTCCATTTAACATATTTTTAAGGAGATTTTCAAAATTAAAATCAAAATCAGTCAGAGGTTAATGAATATTGTTCCATATAATAAAAAAAAGTTGACCTGTATGTAAATGCACAAGTTAATTAACTGTGTCATTCCAGAGAGGAGAAATCTAGATGATAAGTATGGAAATATCCTTACATCTACATTTGTGGTCTCCTCTACGAGGCGGGAGTTGGCGGGATGTGTTGGTGTGGGCGACGCGTTTGGACTGTGCGACGGTGAGTCGGAGAAACTACCACCATCAACTGCACTGCTGGGCAACGACGAAGACTGAAACAACAAAGACAACAAATCAGTCAAGTAATTCAGGCGATCTTCCCTGTTAAACAGTTCAGACTCAGTCAAGTAATTCAGGCTATCTTCCCTGTTAAACAGTTCAGACTCAGTCAAGTAATTCAGGCTATCTTCCCTGTTAAACAGTTCAGACTCAGTCAAGTAATTCAGGCTATCTTCCCTGTTAAACAGTTCAGACTCAGTCAAGTAATTCAGGCTATCTTCCCTGTTAAACAGTTCAGACTCAGTCAAGTAATTCAGGCTATCTTCCCTGTTAAACAGTTCAGACTCAGTCAAGTAATTCAGGCTATCTTCCCTGTTAAACAGTTCAGACTCAGTCAAGTAATTCAGGCTATCTTCCCTGTTAAACAGTTCAGACTCAGTCAAGTAATTCAGGCTATCTTCCCTGTTAAACAGTTCAGACTCAGTCAAGTAATTCAGGCTATCTTCCCTGTTAAACAGTTCAGACTCAGTCAAGTAATTCAGGCTATCTTCCCTGTTAAACAGTTCAGACTCAGTCAAGTAATTCAGGCTATCTTCCCTGTTAAACAGTTCAGACTCAGTCAAGTAATTCAGGCTATCTTCCCTGTTAAACAGTTCAGACTCAGTCAAGTAATTCAGGCTATCTTCCCTGTTAAACAGTTCAGACTCAGTCAAGTAATTCAGGCTATCTTCCCTGTTAAACAGTTCAGACTCAGTCAAGTAATTCAGGCTATCTTCCCTGTTAAACAGTTCAGACTCGGTCAAGTAATTCAGGCTATCTTCCCTGTTAAACAGTTCAAATCAGTCAAGTAATTCAGGCTATCTTCGCTGTTTAACAGTTCAAATCAGTCAAGTAATTCAGGCTATCTTCCCTGTTTAACAGTTCAGACTCGGTCAAGTAATTCAGGCTATCTTCCCTGTTAAACAGTTCAGACTTCGTCAAGTATATCAGGCTATCTTCCCTGTTAAACAGTTCAGACTCGGTCAAGTAATTCAGGCTATCTTCCCTGTTATACAGTTCAGACTCGGTCAAGTAATTTAGGCTATCTTCCCTGTTAAACAGTTCAGACTATCTTCAAGTCACTCCTGAAAAAGACAGTTTATTATTACAGTCATAATTGAAATTTTCAGTGAAAAACAGCAATTTCCACATGAGGAATTTTACACTGTTATTGACTGTTTACAGACTTCCAATTTAACAGTGTTAAAATTTGAATATATTTAACCCTAGTCCAGCACTTATCCAGGATACAGCTATTTTTAAAGTACTTTTCAACTCTCAAGTATTGACTTCAATTTCAGCACTTTAACTGGGTTTTATTAACCATGTTATATAACATCCGGGACTTCATAACCATCTCTCTATAGAAAATAAATTAATATTTACACAAAATGAGCCTCTAACCCTAGCAGTTTTTATTTGTTTGACCAATGACAATTTTTTGTATGTGAACTATTTCTTAATAAAATGAATGTACAGTATTTTCATCAAATCTCAGATAAATGAAGCAGAAGCCATTACTGATCTGAAAAAAAACCTTTGGTTGAGTGCATTTTAACATTTTCAACAATTTCAAAAGAATGAGTTTGTTGTATTGTATACCCTTGTTTACACAGTTTCCCTCTTTTGGAGGGAATCACCTTGTAATTCAATTTTTATTTTTATTTTTAAACCCAGCACAATTTTCTTAATTTTGGTTTTGAGCTCAAGCTGTATCTCAACCCGTCAACACCATCAGATTTTACACCATCTTTTTGTCCAATAAAAGTCATTTCATGTAATTTTTTACACACCTTTTTTATTTTTCCATTTCCATTTCCATCAGAAAAAAAAAGATTATTATAGCTCTGCCACATTCTTATTTTCAGTTCATCCTAGAGTATAGCTATCTCCTTCTACTCACCTGTAAATTGAAATTAATATACCACTCTTGCAAGGTTCCAGATGATCTAGATTTGACTACATTCATTAATATGTAAGGTACCAGTTACCTCCAGGTAAAACACAAACATTTTGCTAACCCTGAACACTTACACAAACATTTTGCTAACCCAGACTGGAGCCAGAGCGCCTGGAGGCGACAGTGTGTGTTGGCCTTTGGCGTACATAAGTACAGTTTGTACCAATTAACTCATCCCTTTTCTATCAACAATATTCAACACGCTACACACACGTTCCAGTAAACATGCTCGTGTCTGTCAACAAGTGGCAGTGTTAGGGTTTCATGAACTTTTTGTTTCACCATAAATAATAAACCAACACAAAACACCTTCCATGCCAGGCAACATCTCTCACGTCCAATCAGCGACGGATAACGAATACGTTGTTAAACAAAGTTGGTAACCATTGTGACAAAAAGTGTCCCACAGAACTTTAATGCTGTACGTATCATGCGTTTGACTGATGAATTGATATCTGTCTATCCCTATATCTTTCACCACTCATCCTTCTCTCCATCCCCTCATATTATTCACTATTCTTCTCTTCCACTTACATCATCTACACACATATTTCAATTTCTGACATCACTCATGACCTCAATCATTCTCTTCCTAACACAATCTTTTCATCCCTCTAACATCATCTTTCTATCACTTTCCTAATACCAACTTTCTATCTGTTTTTTAACACAGTATTTGTATCCGTTTCCAAACAACAACCTTCCTTCCGGCCGGCTCCTAATTCCATCTCTCTATCCCTAACACCATCTCTCTATCCCTTACACCATCTCTCTATCCTTTACACCCTTTCTCTATCCCTTACACCCTCTCTCTATCCCTAACACCATACTCTATCCCTTACACCATCTCTCTATCCCTAACACCATCTCTCTATCCCTAACACCATACTCTATCCCTAACACCATCTCTATATCCCTTACACCATCTCTCTATCCCTTACACCATCTCTCTATCCTTACACCATACTCTATCCCTAACACCATCTCTCCATCCCTTACACCATCTCTCTATCCTTACACCATACTCTATCCCTAACACCCTTTCTCTATCCCTTACACCATCTCTCTATCCTTTACACCCTTTCTCTATCCCTAACACCATTCTCTATCCCTAACACCATACTCTATCCCTAACACCATCTCTCTATCCCTAACACCATCTTTCTAGCCCTAACACACTCTCTCTTTCCCATACACCATCTCTCTATCCCTTATACCATCTCTATCCCCAACACCCTCTCTCTATCCCCAACACCATCTCTCTATCCCTAACACCCTCTCTCTATCCCCAACACCATCTCTCTATCCCTTACACCATCTCTCTATCCCTAATTCCATCTCTATATCCCTTAAACCATCTCTATATCCCCCACACCATCTTTATGTTCCTTCCCTATAGCCTTCCCTCTATTAAGCCCTATCCAGTGTACCGGGTCGCACGTATACCTGTCAGCGACTTATTACCTGTATCACGTTATGTCAGGTGTGGGGGAGACCACATTAAACCATGCACAGGTAGGTCGCGCCTGACTGGCGGTCACACACCAGCGAACACGACTATTACATGCACCATCGTCATGTAATATAAATTTCACTAGACAGTGTCAACTATTTGAAATCCATGCATCTGAGACGTGTATAGGTCTGACTGTATATATAGTCACATACAGACACGGTATATATATTGTCTACTTATATGTCATAAACCTAACAAACCTCAAGCTCTTTATCAAAGTTATAAACTTACATTCCCTTCAAATCTCTGTTTACAAGAATTTTCCAAATCCTTTCAATACCTGAGCAATAAAATGTCTGTTAATTGTAGAATATCCAATCCCTTCAAATTCCTATGCACAATTTTATTTGAGAAATGTTAGCTTGTAACCTTGCATATTTTTAAAACAACAATATGGAAACAGACTATAGATTTTTAAAAGTATTTGGAAACTTCATTTTATTAGAAAAATATCAATGTTGTAGTGTTTGTAAAGTTCTAAACAACAATTTGAAAACAGACTATAGATTTTTACAGGGTATTTGAACATTTTTTTTTTTTAATCTAGTTTAATAAAGTTAAATGAATCAAAATTTTAACAGAGTCCATCTCTAGTGCATAGTTGTAAATAAATGAGTAGCACAGATGTGAGGTTTATTTTAAGCGAGTTTGTAGACATATCTTTGACAACATTAGATATTGTTTATATATCTTATCAATTAATTGTATGTGGTTTTACGTTTGAACCTTGACACCTTTGAAGTCTATGAACAACTTTTCTATAGACTTCTTTAACTCATTCACCCCTGAAATTCTGTAATGAACTATTCCAATCTTTGAATCAGAGGAGTTCAAATATGTCTTCAGGGGTGAATGAGTTGAGGGAAATAAATGTCTAAAATGCTGATTTGTCTAGAAATAGATTATTTCTGACTCAATTTTTTTTCAAAAACCCAAAACAAGGTTCTTCTGTAATTGCGTATAATACAAGTGTTTGTATCCCCGATGTTAATATTTACATATGATAACAAATCACTCCTTAAACTTTTATCCAACACATATTTACATATTCCTAAACATGTTGGTGAGGCCAAACAAAACAGGTCTTGTGGTCCAGTCTTTTTGTTTGTTTTTGTTTTAGTAGAGGGGAGGGGGGGTCCCACAGATGGGTGTAGACAAAATGAACAGTTACATAGGCAAGAATTAACGACATAATTGAAAATCACACAGGAATACATGCCTTGAATTAATACATTCAGCTGTTTTTGTATTATTAGATTTTAATATTCTATTGATGTAACAATGAATTTCATTGTTTTCTTGTTTTTTTTTAGACCTAACACCATGTTGAACTATATTAACTTGCTGGATATCATCAACTGAACTCGATTTACAACAGTAAAACCATGATATATATTCATTCACCTTACCTACAAACAACGTCTATGACCTTCACAGAGACTGTAGTACATGTAAATATTTTGGAACCTCCAGCATTGCACTGCTTATTCCTACCATTGACAATTTTCAAGATCAAATCCCCTTTTCGAAAGCTTTAAATATTGAAACATTCCTTAGACGGACAAACATGTATATTTAAACGCAAATTTTAATACTTAAATGTCATACAGTTGATTTGGATCATTTTGAAAAGTTTACATGTTGATATGCCATGCAATTAACTCATTTACCCCTGAAGATGCATTTGAACTCTTCCAATTCAAAGGTTGGAATAGTCCATTATGAAATTTCAGGGGTGAATGAATTAATTAACAGGCTTAGCCTGCATTTTTACTCTCTATGACCACGATTGCATTGTTGAGCACTAGACAGGTACAAAATGTATGTGGAACACATAGTTTTTTCTATTTGGCCTCGATCATTTCCTCCTGTTCAGTCAGCATGTTCAGCGTTGGTGATTACGTAACCGTGGTGATTACCTAACCTTTAAATAGAACCTACAGTTGTTCCTCCCTGACTAGGCATCCAAGTGCAAGTATAAACACACCACTTTACCTCATTCACCCCTGAAATTTCATAATGAACTATTCCAACCATTGAAATGGAAGAGTTCAAATGTGTCTTCAGGGGTGAATGAGTTAAGGTAGACAGACCATCTGGGATCGATCAGTTTATCATATTATCGCAAATGACTGCACCATCCAAGATGCAATGTGCTTTAATAATGCCAAGAGTTTGAATGATATAGAAAAAAAATCATCTCCAAAACCAAGCATTAAGTGAATTTGAGAGAAAGTGAGCTCCTTGGGCAAAATATTTCTGCCAACTAAGCATTTAGTGAATTAAAGAAAGTGAGTTTGTTTGGCATAACTATTCTGATTGTATATATATATAGAACTTTTCAATAGTGATGAAAATGTTAAAGTGAAATAATAAGCAAAATGGAAAGAAGAAAAAAAAGTAAAGAAAAAATTTGCCAGACATGAAGGCCCATTATGGCCCACTCAGGCCACTAAACCGTCCAAAACTACAGATTAAAGATTCCTGAATAAATATTTTTTGTCATTTACCATACCAAACCCGATTTCATTCAAAATAATAACCCATTTCACCACTGTAGACCATAATGGACTAATTAATCCATATCAATGCATGGAAGAGCCTACTAAAGTTACAGAGGGGTGAAAGGGTTAAAGACTGGTTTTTTTAATCAAATTTTTGTATCGGACTACATGTACTGTTAAGTTGAATCAAGACTTCTCTCTTTAAAACTATATAGTTTTACCTTAATCATGTTTAAAGTTCTCTGTATTTCAAAATAAGATTTTTTATCTGTGCGATGCATCTGTAACAGCAGAGAAAACAATTCACAAATAGAATCTAAATGTCAAGTTTTACCATGTGGTGGTTTGCCTGATCTCTTAAATGTGATTCCCTTCACCTTTATTGACTAATCAACTGTTTGATGACCTAAGCAGACCTATCTGAACAAATTGTTCTAATTCAGAATTAATTTAACACATATTTAAATGCCCATACATTGTTTCAAAATATTAAGGATCCATGTACAATCCTTCAAGCTGACAGTGCAAGTTTAAAAGCTATCAATTGAGATTTAATATTTTTTTTTCTGGTTTTGAGATCTTCCCCAGTTCTGGTTTTGAGATCTTCCCCAGTGACTATCTCTTCCGGTTATCGTTTCTAAGGAAGCGCCAACATTTTAGTTTGTCCATGTTTGTTAATGAGTATTCATTGGCTCTATAGATATATATTTCTAAGTGTGGTTCCAATAAGTAAAGACTGACCATTGTCCACTGACATGACCATGCTATACTGGTCAGTCTCACACCTAACAATACATGGTTACAATTAAATATATAAAGGCCCTTTTACTAATTTACCCACAATACGAAAATACTATCATAATGATAACAATATATTCTTACAATATCACTATCAAATAGCCTTACAACTTTCTATTTCTGAAATCTTTTATTTTTCTGTACCAGGAGTTTCCTTCTATTTTCTTTATCAAATATCTTTTACAATTTACGTTCCAAAATATCCCTTTATTTCAAATACTTAAATATTCTTTCATTTCCTGTATCAAAATATCACAGCTTTTTCCACACAACTGCAAAATTTCCACAACTGAAATATCCCTATATTTTGCACTGCCAAAACATTCTTAGATTTTGTATAGGCAAACAAATCATTAGCAATTTCTTCCTTCATTTCTTAAATCCCACTTAAAAATGTGTCATGAACGTACAAAGACTGGTAAACAGAGAAGGTGGAATCACTGATATTATTGACCGTTTTTGGATCATATTATTCCAGTTTCAATTTATTTTTTCATTTTTGGATTTCTCAACATCAGCCAATTCATTCAAAGTCTCTTTTGGATCTTGAAGTCCCTCTTGAGTATCTGAGTCCCTAAAACTCTTTAACTCATTCACCCCTGAAGACACATTAGAACTACTCTGATTCAAGAGGTGGAATAGTTCATTACAAAATTTCAGGGGGGAATGAGTTAAGTCTCAAAATTCCATCAGTATCACTGCAAGTACCCCGAGATATTTGTGGTGAATTACTGACTCAACAGCATTGGGTGTCCCTTAATCTCTCCCCCAACCCCCAAACAATATTCTACAATTTTGTGTACAGAAACAGGGATGCAAACAAAACAAGATTCTCCTCAAAACAAAAACAATCCAACAGATTGAGATGGTGAAAGGTGATGCCCTTTGACCCCAGGGTGGGCGTGACAAGCCGACCTCCGACCCAAGGTTGGACACAACATCATGCCCTCGGACCCTAGGTGGGCGTTACATGCTGCCCTCCAAACCAAGGGTAGGCAAGGCATGCTGCCCTTGACCTGAGGGCGGGCACAACATCATGCCCTCTGACCTGGGTGGGCGTGACATGCTGACCTTCGACCCATGGGCAGGGTGACATTGGTACTATGAGTGGGCCCAGTGTTAGTTGCCATACAAAAAGCACACGCATTGACCTTTACCTTCTTTATCTTATTAAACATCCGTCGTTTGGTACTCGCCATAACTCGCTACAACAGACACAGCGACTAGTGGTCAACACCAGCTACGCCACATAACACAAACATGTACAAAATTAGACGCTAACATTCTAGGACACTTTACAGTTAGGCCACAATTGATGTTAATGTTATAGAAAATAAAATAAAACATATTATAGGTGTCCTGTACTGGCTTAACTCATTTACCCCTGAAGACACGTTTAAACTCTTCCAATTCAAAGGTTGGAATAGTTCATAATGAAATTTCAGGGGTGAATGAGTTGACCCTTTCACCACTGTTACCCTAATGGACTCATCCCAATCAATGCATGGTAGAGTCTACTAAAGTTACATAGGGGTGAAAGGGTTAACGGAAACAATCCAGAGTTAGCAATACTGCACAAAGTTAAAGTGAAATACTGGTTGAATCATGTGGTACAGTTATAGGGAGACTTTTCAGCAGCCAAGACAGCACAGTGTGTTTGTGAAGGGTCATCGCTAGCGGAAGGACGAAAAATGATCAGCTATTTTTAAAAGTGCGGCAGGTGGGAAGGTCTTAGGAACATTTTAATATGTACCTTCTAGAGCAATGGAAGCAAGATAGTAGAGCACAGACAATACAGATAGGTCCAAGCTATAACAGATTGTCCTGGACAGTATCTCAATTTGACTCTGAAGTCATTACTTACGATAGAAACTAACATGCAGGTACTTTTGGCAATTTTTTTTTTTTTCCGCTTAAAAAAATTCTTCACTTCTATGTTAAATGTCAATACATGTACAATCAAACTAAATCAAAGTAACTACAAATAAACTAAAATGGCATTAGTACAGAACAGAACTTGAAAGTGTGTCTCTATGGCTGAAGGCGGGTTAGGACGTGAGGGTATTTTATACGGAATGCAAGCACCAGGCACACAGTACCTCAGGGCTGACACCTGGGCGCGACCCAGTCTTTAGAATAACTGGATCTCGGTTCCGAGATCCTGCGTCGGACTGGGACCGCGAAACCCCAGCTCGGGTATCGGCTGGCAGCTCCTCACTGGCGTAAACTGCAACCGGCGTGGACCCTGTTTTCATATGTTTGGGCCCACCTTTCAGCTGTGACAGAAGTAATACACATTTAACCTTGTCTCCTGACCAGCTGAAGAATGAAATAACCTGTCAAAAATGACCACATATTTCCCTCGAAAAACTTTCGTCAAATGAACAAAATCATCCTGTCCGAAAATGAAATGGAACCTCTGTCCAAATTCCTTCACAGTTATGCAAACCTGCTCATGCAACCACCTCTATCAACTCATTCACCCCTACATATTTAAACTGGACTTGCCCAGTCCATGATTTGGTAAGGTTCAAATGAGACTATAGGGATGAATGGGTTAAGAGACCATGTTGTAAGTAGGGACTCCATTGTAAATTGAACCTGTTTTTAACTCATTCACCCCTGAAATTTCATAATGAACTTTTCCAACCATTGAATTGGAATGGTTCACATGTGTCTTCAGGGGTGAATGAGTTAAAGAGACCACTGGTCTTTTCATAGAGGTTTGGCCGCATACATATTTGTACCAGCAGGGAATCGCTTCATAAACAGTAAACTCCACAACATAATGTCTACAGAAAACTGAATTCCCAGTCCCCTTGTACAGTTACAAAGTTATTGTCTCATACCAGTTTACTCAAATATTTCAAATACAGATTACTGTAGTTTCTCTCACTATATTTATATTGGGAACAGGGCTTGGCTAACGAAAAACTGTTTCACTTTCCGGTATTCAATAACAGTAGCAATTATTTGTTTACAATTGATTGTTTACATTGTTTACACTTAAACTATCATGAGCTGTAAATGTTTTTTCTTTCTATTAATTTCGGAACTTATAGATGAATATTTGAAATAATTTCTAAAATTGGACCCAACAAAAGCACTGCTGATATACTCTGTATCTTAACCTTATTCACTCTTTCATTCACCACAAAATAAGAAGACAATGTATTGATATTTTATGAAGTTCCAACAGAGTTGAGACAAAGGTTCTTACCCATGGTGTGGCCTCTCCTGAACCTGTATCAGGTGACGAAGTCTCGCCCAGGGATAACGGCAACTGTAAAATATTTATACCAGGTTTCATAACTTTGTACATATCATCATTTTTACTAAGTGTGAACATACTCATACATGTCAACATTTGTGTATCAACAGTGTGTGCAGATCCACACTGTTATCATGTAAAAATTGTCAACACTTGATGATATATATCAACACTATGTGCAGGTCAACACTCAAGATGTTGACACTGTCAACAAGTCAAAATTGTCAAAACTCTGTATATACCTTAACACTGTCAAGATGTCAAAACTGTCAACACTTGTCTCAATGTTGTACAAGTAAAAACAGTCAACACTTGTCAACAAGTGTTAAAATGTAGTACATGTCAACATTCAACAATGTGTTAATATATTGTGCATGTCAAACTGTCAACATTTGTCAACAATACATGTCAACACTAAAGATATGCTGACATTTTCAACACGTCAATGTTGTCAACATGTGTTCACACTTTTTGTTAACATCCAGACTGTCAACACTGTTATTGTCCAACTCTACAGATTTGTCAACACTAAAGATATGCTGACATTGTCAACATGGCAATGTTGTCGACATGTGTTTACATTTTTTGTTAACATCCAGACTGTCAACACTGTTATTGCCCAACACTAAAGATTTGTCAACACTAAAGATATGCTGACATTGTCAACATATGGCAATGTTGTCGACATGTGTTCACATTTTTTGTCAACATCCTCCAGACCGTCAACATTGAAAGCATCAATCACTCTGCACTGATAACATTTCCAGTCAACATCCATTTAAGCCGTCAACTGAATTGACGCAACTTATAAATGTTACAGGTAAATTCGCCTGATGTCTTTGATGAAGATAAAAGGATTAATGTGGCAGCGTTATTGTAAACTAACAAGCTCTGATTTGGGGTGTATATATAGCTTCTTCAAAAGACAGGTATCAACCTTTCGATAGGTCAGGTGTTTAGACCAGAAACCAATGAAACAGCTTTCTGCGAGCATTCTATTCTGTTATGACATGTTCCAGTCGTGCAGTGCAGGAAAGACATGTGTATCGAGAGCGAAGCGTTTCAGTTTCGCAGCTGCCCAATCGTATACCTACACTATATTCGGCTGGTAGCGTGGAGGCTATCACTTCCACTTGGTCCCTCAAAGTCTTTACAGTTTTTTCCTTCTCTAACAGTTGTGCGTGGGACTTCTCTGTCGGGCACTTTTGGTATCCCTTCTTAAATTTCTAAACAAGGAAAAGCGGTGATATTGAAAATATAATGATGACACTTCATACACAAGGAATGTATAACTACCAATAGAACGAAGATTCCATTTCAAAATATTTTCACAAAAGAGTAGCAGATAGGTAAATCACTTATAAAGCAAACAACAAACAATGCAATTTTGAAAAAAAAAAGTTACAGTAAAAAGAATACGTGACATTTCCATCATATTAAATTTGTTTCTTTTTTCGTAATTTTTCTGATTATACTTCAAAGTCCTGAACAGAATGAATAACTTAAAATAACTGTCAAGAGAAGCCAAGCAGATGAAATTCAAACATCACTTGAATAATTTCTTCACGCATTTTTAACTCATTTACCCCTACCTATCTAAATTGATTTGGTAAGCTTCAAATGTGAATTTAGGTTTGAATGGGATGAACAATGTGTAAATGTAATTCTTGTTCCTTTGGCAAAGTTTAGTCCTCTCAATGAAAGAAAAAGATTGCAAAAAATAACTTTTCAAATACGGTCACAGCATTCAATCAACCCTAGAACAAGTACATAGTATATACACCAGAATCAAATGGCTTCTATCCGTGCCGACCATTTATATATGCGCCATTAAAAAGCAGATCAATGTTTTAACCAACCCTTGTTATGATGCTTAGCCTTACAAAGCAGAAGACTGTCTCACCATGGGACAGCGACAGCAGATTATGAGCAAGTGGATCTGCAGTGGTTAATGTTTTATCCGATATTGTGGTCAGAGGGAAGAAGACGGGACCATTATACAATTACATACGCATTCTACACATCGAGACATTCCGATTCCGAAGAGGAGTTATGTTTTATCTGGTATTGTGGTCAGAAAGAGGAAGAAAGGACCATTATACACTTACATATGCATTCTATACATAGAGACATTCCGATTCCGAAGAACAGTTAACAGTTAGATAGTCCCGGAGACGGATGAGTAAGAACGGTTTCCTTTCCTAAATCATTGGTTGGGGAGTAATATACAGAATATAGAGTCAGATATCACATATTTTATCCTTTTTGTTTTCTTGGTCAATGAAACCTGTTTTTTGAGTGTTGTGGACACGTGGATGTTTTCACACATATACAAACCTCTAGTTCTTCTACTGCAAGCTCATAGTATTTATGTAATTCCAGCACCTTGGACTGCTTCAACTCCCAGCTTTTATGGGCCTACAAAAGCAAAGCCACACCCAGTGAAATACTGGTGGTAGCGCTATACGTTGTCAAATACTGGTGGTAGCGCTATACGTTGTCAAATACTGGTGGTAGCGCTATACGTTGTCAAATACTGGTGGTAGTGCTATACGTTGTCAAATACTGGTGGTAGCGCTATATGTTGTCAAATACTGGTGGTAGTGCTAAACCTGGTGGCAGCGTCAAACTTCGTCAAAACTGGGACGCAGCGTCAAACCTAGTCAACATTTGTGGCGTCATCAAGCCTACTCAATACTGGTAGCAGGGCTAAACCTTGTTAAACACTGGTGGCAGCATTATACCTAGTCAAATCACGTCAATAACTGTAGACAGCAGTTCAACTTATCAAATACTGGTGGCAGCATTATGCCTAGTTATAGCCAGTTAAGTATTTGTGACAACACTTTAACCTCGTCCACCAAGTCAAATGTTGGTTTTATCACCTTCATCTTGTCGAACAAGGTCAAAAATTTGTTACATAACCTCAACCTCATCCAACCAAGACAAATACTGGTTAAAACACCTTAACCTCATCATACCAAGTCAAATACTGGTTATATAACCTTAACCTCACCAAACCAAGTCAAATACTGGTTAAAACACCTTAACTTCATCATACCAAGTCACATACTTGTTATATATATAACCTTAACCTCATCAGACAAAGTCAAATACTGGTTAAAACCCCTTAACCTCATCAAAGCAGGTCAAATACTGGTTAAAACCCCTTAACCTCATCAAACCAGGTCAAATACTGGTTATATAACCTTAACCTCATCAAACCAAGTCAAATACTGGTTATATAACCTTAACCACATCAAACCAAGTCAAAAACTGGTTATATAACCTTAACCTCATCAAACCAAGTCAAAAACTGGTTAAACACCTTAACCTCAAACACCTTAACCTCATCAAAACAAGTCAAATACTGGTTATATAACCTTAACCTCATCAAACCAACTCAAATACTGGTTATATAACCTTAACCTCATCAAACCAACTTAAATACTGGTTATATAACCTTAACCTCATCAAACCAACTCAAATACTGGTTACATAACCTTAACCTAATCAAACCAACTCAAATATTGGTTATATAACCTCAACCTCATCAAACCAAGTCAAATACTGGTTAAAACACCTTAACCTCATCAAACCAAGTCAAATACTTGTTATAGAACTATATCTGGCCATACCAAGTCAAGTACTCAGCACTACACAGCTTGTGTTTTGTGGACAAGTAATCCTAGGAAAAGCCTGGCAAAAATATCAGTTTTGTTACAAAAGGCATGTCCAGAGAGAAGGCAAACAAATTTAATATGAGCAGAGTGCATCACAAAGCATGCTAAAGATTATTGGTCAGGGAGGTATCAGGCAAGTATGTATAGATCACATATCTAATATTAAACCATATTTATTCTTATAACCCTACACCATTACACAGGATGTCCACTTAGAGGTGGGTGTGTGTTTAAATTTTAGTGTGTGAAGTTATGGATTTTGCAACTTTGATCACAGATGTATATCCAATTTCCTTGTAGTAATAACTGATTGCCTATAATTATATTATCCTCATTAAAAATAATAAATTTATTTAACCGTTGATTGCACCTAGACACAGTTATAATAGTCTGTAGTGTAAGTGATAACCTATTATTAATTATCTTATAAAAAAAAGATTAATTATTTAATGATTGATTGCACTTAAGAGCAGTTATAAAAGTTTGTAATCCAAGGCCCGTATTCATGAAACCGTTCTCATGCTCAAGCATGGATCTTGTGCTCAAACCTAATTTCTTGTTCCGGTTACAAATTATTAAAAAAAAAAAAAAAAAAAAAAAAAAAAATCAATGATTTAAAAAAAAAATTGAAAAGACTTTAAGCCAAATACTGTTTTCAATGTGTTTACATACATTTGACTTTTTGATCGTTTGACATCATTTAAGTGAGTTACAAGAAAACTGGTTTGAGCACAGAATCTATGCTTGAGCATGAGAACGATTTCATGAATACGGGCCCAAGTGAAGGCCTATTATTATATTATTGATTTCATTTATTTATTTTTATCTATTTAACTGTTGATTGTACTTAAGAAACAGATAAATAGAAGTTTGTAATCCATCAAACTTTACTGCTGGTTTGGTAATCATCCTTCAACAGTTTAAGTATCCACGATTATTTATGATCAATAAACGATCCTTGACCATTTATGATGTACATAAACTATCCACCATTATTTATGATATAGGAACAATGTCAATCAAATCGGAGCTACGAATATAACTAGATATGGTACAGTGAATGCATGAACGATAAAACAGACTCTCGTATAAAAGTACGTGAACTAGCAGACTACATAAATTTGCATACACAAAATGGTTCGTAAAACTGCGGAAAGAGCAACCCAAGAATGTGTCATGTTATTGATATTGTAGACTTAAAGATTGCATAGCAGGCATACACCAGACCATATACACACAGAAGTGTCAGTGTGTAGATAGATTTTGGGAGAAGTTCAACAGCGGAGGACATTGCCCAATATTGTACTCACATTGACAGACTGAGGGGCCGAGACAATTTCCTTGGACGGGCCTCGGAGATTAACCCCACCCGCGGGTTTGTTCAGCAAGGTCAAGGCCACAAAGGATCCCGCTGTAAGGACGAAAATACGGTTATAACCTGTGTTTGTATTGTAAGAGATTACATACTTTATATAGTACAATATAAATAATATAATAATAATAATTCGAGGTTCTTATATACCGCTTTATCAAGTCATAGGTCATCTTAAAACGGTTCGCAAATTATTATCCGTGGTTATAGGGTCTTTGCAACAAGCCAATATCTTTTTCAACTGCCTTGGAGCACACAGCCGGTGCTGCCATTTCGGCGCTCAAAGCTAGCATTCAACAATTCTAGCACTGCCCAACCACATACTCATTTACAGCTGAGTAGACTGGAACAAGCGGAATAAAGTATCTTGTTCAAAGATACAACACAGTGCTGACCCGTAACATGACTCAAACCCCCAACCTTTCGGTCACGAGTCTGCATCCTACCACAAGACTACCGTGCTTCCAGTCTCAAATCTTTACATAATTTAACACTATCATATACATAACACAATCTTATACACTTCGAAAAGTCAGATTTTATATTTACTATACATACATACACTCCACCTAAGATTTTATGACAAACACAGGTACACTTCACACACTGTATACCAGGAAATGTTTGCTGCAGATTAACTTTTACCTTTATTCGCCTTCTGTAAAAAGGGCTAATCTACCATGAGACTGAATACACAGCACACAAGATACCAGCTACAGTAAATATATATGTGAAGGGCAAAATAAACACTGGTTGAAAGAATATGAATTTTATCAGTAAAAGGTGAAAAATTGACCCGAGTGAAAGTACATGTAGTACACAGTAGTAATATCTTACAAATATACACTTCACATATTTAGATCTTGCAGGTACACTTCACCTTTTAATATACTTAAAATGTAGGTATATTTCATAACATAAAATCATATAGGTACAGTTCACATTGTAAAATCTTACATAGATACATTTTTCATAGTAATTTCACATAGATACATTTCCATTGTAAAATCTTAGATACATTTCACATCGCAAGATCTTATAAGTACGCTTCATACATTAAGACTTACACTCTATAATTAAGCTTCATCTATTTTTAGATCTTACCTTCACACAGTACAGGAAGACATTAGCTTCCTTGTGTAAAGGTAGTGTTATCACATCCACCCTGCCCACGTCCACACTTATGTCACCCCACCCACTACAACTTACACACATGTAATCCTGTGTCACACACATACACACAGGTAATCCTGTGTCACACACATACACACATGTAATCCTGTGTCACACACATACACACATGAAATCCTGTGTCACACACATACACACATGTAACCCTGTGTCACACACATGCACACATGGAATCCTGTGTCACACACATACACACATCTAATCCTGTGTCACACACATGCACACATGGAATCCTGTGTCACACACATACACACAGGGAATCCTGTGTCACACACATACACACAGGGAATCCTGTGTCACACACATACACACACATAATCCTTTGTCACACACATACACACATGTAATCCTGAGTCACACATCACACACATACACACATGTAATCCTGTGTCACACACATACACACACATAATCCTGTGTCACACACATACACACATGTAATCCTGTGTCACACATCACACACATACACACATGTAATCCTGTGTCACACACAAACACACATGTACTCCTGTGTCACACACTTACACACATGTAATCCTGTGTCACACACATACACACATGTAATCCTGTGTCACACACATACACAAACCAGGTTTTTCATCTGCCACAGGTACAACATCCATGCCAACTTTCTGAAATTTCCTTGTGGTAGGTTCTGCATGTTCGAAATTAAAACCAAAATAAAATGTGTGTATATAACCCCTCAAGACAAAATAACCCTTTAAAACGACCTATTTTGAGTTATTCTTTCAGATGAAATCATCAGATCTTAGAATAGGGTAACAAACTCACTAATTGGAAACACTGAACTTAAGGTTCCAAAAGTGAGAGTCTACTTCCTATTTCGGGAGAGTTGGAAAGTATGGTACAATAACAATAGGTGAAAACCCTCACTGACTTTGCTCATACAAAAGTAACACCGTTAACTCATTCACCCCTGAAATCTAATAATGAACTATTCCAACCTTTGAATTGGAAGGGTTCAAATGTGTCTTCAGGGGTGAATGATTTTAATTGCCTCAAAGTTTGTTACACAATTAAAATCATAACATATAAAACATCTTTCACCAAAATTTGTCGATTTTTCTCGTCTTTCATCATTTGTAACAAGCTTGTGGCGAAGGTAAACATATACCAACAGTTTGAAATATTTTTTGGCTAGTTCAATGATACCAATCATCTCCACTCTCTCACAGTATATTTGCCTAGCCTCCATCTTGCTATTCATGCCAAAATCAACAAACAGATTCTATCTGCTAGCTGTAATATTATGGTTGAGTAAGAAAATATATCTGTTTCCTTATGACATTTCTATTGAGTGGTCGATTCTTACAGGCCTTTTATCGACAAGCACAGAAAGGGCAGGTGGGATGTCCTTCAAACTTCTTTTTTTTTTCGCCTGACAAGCCCACTTTGGTATTCAAAGAATGTTCCAGGAAGTCGGCAGGTTTTTATCGACAATGTCAGTATAAATTGTACAGTGTTACGTGGTGTAGACACACACGCTGGTCATATCGTGTGTGTATAAAACATACACGGTGAATCTATTTCTAACATTTCAACTCATCTATTCAGTCAAAATACACCTGACTTTCATATTGTATCATTATGATTGGTTACTGAAGATTGGCATTTCTGAAAATCTCCAGTTTGCTTTCTGTTTGTGTGTAAGGAGAGTTCGGGGTTACCTGTAAGTATGTGAGGGAGGGAGGGGGGCATATCATAAATCTATTTCAAATTAAGTCACCGGACAGATTGGTCCGCATCATATAAAGTGTTCTTTTGAATTTCATAGATTGAAATGTGACGCTATCAGAAAGCGATCTCTGACATTGGTTATCCGGACCATAAGGATCTCAGCAGGCCATCGCATCTATAGACATGTATAGACTACCACAACTTGAACAGTAATATATAGCACAGGCGTCAATACTACAACAAACACCATAGTCTTATGAGTAATATCTAAATTACTCACTCCACTAGCCTTGTCCCTGTCATCAATACTTTCTCTCTCAGACATCCAAGCCTGTGTTACATGAATAGGAAGATGGGTCATTTTGCGAACAGTGGAAGGAGGTCCCATACCTCAACGAAATGCAGTCCCTTCTCAAATATAGGATAAAGTAACATCCCTTGCCAAACAGCGGTAGATGGCATGGTCCCCTCCCCTAAACTAGGATTATGGTCCCTTCTAAAACAGTGCAACAGGTGGTTCTGTCCCCCAAACAGTGGAAGGAGGTCCACTCCCCAAAACATAGGAACATAGTCCCTTCTCAAACAGTGGAAGGAAGGAGGTCCCCTACCACAAACATAGGAACATAGTCCCTTCTCAAACAGTGGAAGGAAGGAGGTCCCCTACCACAAACATAGGAACATAGTCCCTTCTCAAACAGTGGAAGGAAGGAGGTCCCCTACCACAAACATAGGAACATAGTCCCTTCTCAAACCGTGGAAGGAGGTCCCCTACCACAAACATAGGAACATAGTCCCTACTCAAACAGTGGAAGGAGGTCCCCTACCACAAACATAGGAACATAGTCCCTTCTCAAACAGTGGAAGGAGGTCCCCTACCACAAACATAGGAACATAGTCCCTTCTCAAACAGTGGAAGGAGGTCCCCTACCACAAACATAGGAACATAGTCCCTACTCAAACAGTGGAAGGAGGTCCCCTACCACAAACATAGGAACATAGTCCCTTCTCAAACAGTGGAAGGAGGTCCCCTACCACAAACATAGGAACATAGTCCCTTCTCAAACAGTGGAAGGAGGTCCCCTACCACAAACATAGGAACATAGTCCCTTCTCAAACAGTGGAAGGAGGTCCCCTACCACAAACATAGGAACATAGTCCCTTCTCAAACAGTGGAAGGAGGTCCCCTACCACAAACATAGGAACATAGTCCCTTCTCAAACAGTGGAAGGAGGTCCCCTACCACAAACATAGGAACATAGTCCCTTCTCAAACAGTGGAAGGAGGTCCCCTACCACAAACATAGGAACATAGTCCCTTCTCAAACAGTGGAAGGAGGTCCCCTACCACAAACATAGGAACATAGTCCCTTCTCAAACAGTGGAAGGAGGTCCCCTACCACAAACATAGGAACATAGTCCCTTCTCAAACAGTGGAAGGAGGTCCCCTACCACAAACATAGGAACATAGTCCCTTCTCAAACAGTGGAAGGAGGTCCCCTACCACAAACATAGGAACATAGTCCCTTCTCAAACAGTGGAAGGAGGTCCCCTACCACAAACATAGGAACATAGTCCCTTCTCAAACAGTGGAAGGAGGTCCCCTACCACAAACATAGGAACATAGTCCCTTCTCAAACAGTGGAAGGAGGTCCCCTACCACAAACATAGGAACATAGTCCCTTCTCAAACAGTGGAAGGAGGTCCCCTACCACAAACATAGGAACATAGTCCCTTCTCAAACAGTGGAAGGAGGTCCCCTACCACAAACATAGGAACATAGTCCCTTCTCAAACAGTGGAAGGAGGTCCCCTACCACAAACATAGGAACATAGTCCCTTCTCAAACAGTGGAAGGAGGTCCCCTACCACAAACATAGGAACATAGTCCCTTCTCAAACAGTGGAAGGAGGTCCCCTACCACAAACATAGGAACATAGTCCCTTCTCAAACAGTGGAAGGAGGTCCCCTACCACAAACATAGGAACATAGTCCCTTCTCAAACAGTGGAAGGAGGTCCCCTACCACAAACATAGGAACATAGTCCCTTCTCAAACAGTGGAAGGAGGTCCCCTACCACAAACATAGGAACATAGTCCCTTCTCAAACAGTGGAAGGAGGTCCCCTACCACAAACATAGGAACATAGTCCCTTC